TCTCTTCCCTAAATTTTCTCTCTAGGATTCCCTCAGTTTGTGTTTTCTTTAATGATTCTATTTCCACTTTCACGTCTTGCATGGTTTTATTTATTTCCTTCACCTGTTTAATTGTATTTTTCTGTATGTCTTTAAAGGATTTTTATTTTGTTTTCTCTTTAAAGACCTCTGTCTATCTGATTGTATTTCCCTGTATTTTTTTTTTAAGGGACTTATTCATCTCCTCTTTAAAGGCCCCTATCATTTTTATAAGATTGGATTTAAGGTCATTTTTGTGTCTGTGTTTCAGTTGTGTTGGGATATCCAGAGGTTTCTTTGGTGGAGTAGCTGAGCTTTGGAGGTGTCTTGTTGCCCTGACTTTTGTTGATTGTGTTCTTTCGAAGGCCTTTAGCCATCTGGATGGTTTTGGTCCCTGGATGTTCTTGTTGTAGTAGATATCGGGAGGGGGGTTATCCTGGATGATCCTGGTATGGCAGGCTCTGATGGGTATCCTTGGACTATATGATCCTGGACCTGCAGTTTGTGTGGTTCAAGAGCCTCATGTCTGATCAAGGTGGGGGAGAGGTGGCCAGAAAATGGTGTTCTCTTTGCACTAGCAGACTGCTCAGGTCAGCTTCCCTGGGCCATTGCTTCTTAATGAATAGCCATAGGGAAGAGGACATTTCTTAATTGAAAAGGTTAGTTGGAACAGAAGAAGAAAAGTCTCATTTTTCAGACTATTCTATCAGGATATTTGTATCCTGACCCATTGTCCTCCTCCCTTTAGATAAAGTTTTATTTAAATAAACAGACCAGTCTCTTGGTGTGGACAACCTTCCTATAGCTAAGACTGCAGAGACATAAACCACTTCTTTTTTGATGATCTTTATGGATTAGCAGAAATTTACCTTTTTATATCATGACACTTTATAAGAGTAGAGTTTTACTTAGTTCCTTATTTAACACCATACTACCAATCCTATAAATGATTTGTAGTTAACTCCCATATACTGTGTGGTTCTTGTTGCTATCAAATGTGGTCCAATTGCTGGTTTTGTCTGTACCACTTCTAGGAGAATTGTTTATGGTTTGTTTGTTCAGAATTTGATTCTGAATTTTCAGAATTTTTTTTGTTAAGGATTCATGTTTTTATTTTAATTCTATGTGTATGTATGTGTGTGGCATATCCTTGGTTGTGTATAGGGGGTGTGCACATTTGAATGTAGGTGCTGGTGGCATCCAGAGAGTGTGTTAGATCCCTTGGAGCTGGGGTTAGAGATGGTTATGAACTCCAGATGTGGTTGCTTCAGCCAGACTATGGTCTTCTGCAGATATTCTCAGCCTCTGGACCATCTCCAGTATTGGAAAAAGACTTTGTTGTTGTTTTGAAACAGGCTCTCGCTGTGTACCTGGCTGGCCTGAAACACTCTAACTACCTAATTACTATATTTTCATTATAGTATTTTGAGTATATGAAACAAGATTTTTGTTTATCTCAGTGAAATATGAATGTGTTTATATGAATGTGCAAGCTAGTTTTACCTCAGGTTGACATAAGGTTGTCATAAGAGAAAATTGAGAAAATGCCTCCATAAGATTGGGCTGTATGCAAGCCTGTAGGGCATTTTCTTAGTGATTGGTGCAAGGGTGCCCAGCACATAGTGGTCCTGGATTCTATAAGAAAACAGGTTGGGGAAGGCAATAAGCAGCACTGTTCATCATTGACCTTTGCGTCAGCTCCTGCCTCTAGCTAGGTTCCTGAGCTCCTGTCCCAACTTTCTTCAGTGATGGACTAAGTGTATACTCTTTCCTTTGCAACTTGCTTCTAGTCAGTGTTTCATTTATCACAGTCATAGCAACACTAACCAAGGCAGTGAGTATCAACCTGAGTGTTGATAGTGTACATAGTGTTTGCTTCTATCACCTGCATTGTATTTGGATTTGTAGTAGAGGTTGCTAAGTGGCAGGGACACCTGTTGATAACTCTGTGCTTAAGGAAGTCCCATTGCCCATTCTGCTGAGAATGCTCACCTTGAGTTCATTTGTGTAAGAGCTTTGCTCTCCTCTCCTGTAGAAAAAGATAAATTCTTACTCTGTAGCCCATGCTGACCTTCAACTTGGACCTCTCTTGCAGCCCAAGCTAGCCTTGAACTTTTAGGTATCCTCCTGTCTCAATCTGCTGAACAACAGGCATGATCCCCACCGTATTTATAATTTAAGGCTAAAACCTTTTGTAAGTTATCCTTTTATAAGTTAACTTTTATCCTATGTTTTATCTCCTTGCATGGTTATTTGAAAGGCTAAAGTTCTCTACCCACTAAGATTTTGTTCTTTGGTGGTTCTCTTTTGTATAGTTTTATTTCTTTGTGCTGCAGTTGTAGTTGTAAATTGGCTGTAGAGATGAGTAAACAGAGGTGCTGTCATAGTGGGATACAGTTGCTCCTGCCAGGTGCTTCTTGCCAGGGTTACCTCAGTCCACTTCACAGATAAGCTAATGTGAGGTGGGGTTTAACTTCCAGAAAACTTTATTTGTTTACTTTTAGTTTGTTTTTATTTCTAAGATACTAACCCCTAGATTAGATTTGAAAGATTCTTAGACTCCAGTTCTCATTCTTTAGTATGGTGATTGTTAAAATCATGGCCCACTCTTCAGCCATTCCTCTGGATTTGACCATTGGTCTCAGGGGAAGAATCCAATTTGGGGAGAAGTAGCAAATCTTTGTAAATTTTGTTCTCTTCCAATTCTTAATTACTTTCCACTACTTGGGAGGTGTCTTTGCCTTGGAACAATTTTGTGTAGTAAACACAGTTTTAGTTTCCTGTGGGGTTTGCTTGGTTTTGTGTTTCTCCTTCAGTATTGACACCAAGCCCACAGCCTCTTGAATGACAGGGAAGTGCTGTACTCCTGATCCATATTCATAGTCTTGGCATCTATCTCAGTGTCAGACCTGTCTACCCTCCTCACTACCCATCAGTAAGGACTTTCTCACTGCCTTTTCACAGCAGAAGCCTTGATGAGCATAAGGTGCTCTTAAATGAGTAATCAAATGAATTAAATAAATAAATTTTTTAAATTTCTTTTTTTTCTTTATTCTTCCTTCCTTGTTTGTCTTTGTTTCTCTTCCCCCTTTTTCCTCCTTTTCTTCCTTTCCCTCTTCCCCAGCCCTCCCGCCTTCCTTCCTTGAGACTGAGTGTCTGTAGTCCCTGGTGGTCTTGAACTCACTATATATATAAAACTGAGGTTGGCCTTGAACCCCTGATTCTCTTTCTTCCACCTCCCAGACACTGAAATTGTAATCATACCTGGCTTTAAATTTAAAGATATATTTTATTATTTGATTTACTTTCATTTATCAGGGAAAGTGTCTTAGTAACTTTTCTACTACAAAACATCATGGCCAAGGCAACTTACAAAAGGTAAAGTTTGTTTGGGCTTATAGTTCCAGAAGAAATACTGTCCATCATGATGGGAAGCATGTCAGTAAGCAGCTGGAGCAGAATTCCAGAAAGCTCATATCTTCAGCCACAATGCATGAAGCAGAGAGCAACAGTCTTTAACCTCTCAAAGCTTACCTCCTGGGACTTATTTCCTCCAGGAAGGCCACAGCTGTTAAGTCCTTCCAAACACCAGCTGGGGACTATGTGTTCAAATATCTGATCCTATGGAGACATTCTCATTCCGATGACTGCAGATAGTGACATTAAATAATTGTGACATTCACATTAGCAGACTTCTCAAGTCATTTGTAAAAGTAGGTGCATAGAGTGAGAGTTTCTTTGAACCTGTAATTTTGTATTAGGAACTTCTTTGACTCTTAAGGATGAAGTCTTTAGGAATGGCAAAGTAAGCTACTTAAGGAGAATTTAAGAGAAATATATGGCAGTTCTGGGCTTGATAATGAATACACAATTGAACACCCTTGTACTTGCCTAGAGCAAATGTAAAAGCAAAATTCTTCAGTCCACAGAATTAGTAGCATTTAAATTGTCTTGTTTCACTACTGGAAGAGAGCTGACAGTTTTTGTGTCTCCTTTAGCCATCTTTAATGTGTACAATATGTTGTTAGCACAAATGTCAGAAAGAGAAACCAAATCAAAGGGCATTTCAAGAACCAAGGGTATTTGAAACAGTATCTGTATGTGAGGGTAAAATAGGTTTTAAGTGTTAAATATGATCATAAATCATTCCAATGCTAACTTAACTTTGATAGAGTACATAGGGTTTATATAATAATCTTTGATATAAACCTATATAATTACAGAGGAATCTTCTGAATATTGTATTAATTTATGAAAGATAATGCAATGATAGCCCAACTTGTGGCCAGAAGAACTTGACTTTGTAAGAATTCATTTAGTGAATTCCTTTTGTCCTTAGATTGACTTAACTGGCTTTCTAGTCTCCATGCCTGAAGCTTGAGACGGCCATCATTTGGTAATGTAGGTGTTGTGTAGTACAGTTAAGTGTTGCCTTAAGAATGCCAGATCTATTAATTTGTTATCAAGATAATCATTCCCCTATGATGCATTCTTTTAATGAACTTCTTGGGGAGACATTTTGTAGGACAGATGTGTTATACTGTGTGTGCATTCTTGAGTGGTTAGTGTGACACAGTTTAAGAGCCATCCTTAGGTCAGATGATGAAGGGACTTAGTAGATTGTTTAACTAATTAGTGATAACAAGTAAGTGTGATTGTGTTAGCTGGGTTTATGGATATTTTATACAAAGAGAATGTTAAGTGTTATTCAGGAGTGTGTAGATACTTTCCCCAATCAGCCCTTAAAGCCCAGTTGAAAAGTATTTAAACACGAGGCTTAACCATGTAGGAAGGGTGCTTCCTGGACAGATTTCACTGATAAAGCCACCTGAGGACGGTGCATTGACGAGATTTACTTGGCATTGTACTTTGGTCTGTATTCATTGAATGTTTGAATTGTCATGTTTCCCATTTTCCTTGATAAAATGTCAATGAAGAGTACATTGTGGTATAAAATTGACTTTTTTTTTCTATCCATACAGAAGCTCCACCATGAGGCGAGGTGGATGGAGGAGGAGAGCAGAAAATGATGGCTGGGAAAAATGGGTGTGTTTTAATGAATATTTAAATGTCTAGATAATTTTTGTTCTTTTTAGTTTATCATATGGATTAAGGTATAACACATGACTTCATTATACCATCTCTTTCTGGTTTTCACAATGCATTGAAAACCATAACACTGCCCATAAACTCTATTTTACTGTATTTTACTGTCAGGAGTGTTGTCTTGAGGAAGTAGACATTTTTGCACACAACAATTTAATATATTTCAATTTATCTCAGCATTGCTAATAATACTGAGAAATAGGAAAAAATACATAAGTATCCAGAACATAGGGTGTATCTGTTTTCTGAAAACAATTATAATGAGCATATAACATTTTAATAATCAGTAAAAACAAGTGATTTGCTGTTTGGACAAAGTGTATACCAGTAGTTGTCACCTATAGCTTTACTTTGAAGACATAATAAAACAGTCAAGCTTAATTATTTTAAAGTTAAAAAAGTGAGATGGTATTTGTAAATCTGTCAGGGTTTTTAAGTTAAAAGTGTGTGGCAAGGGAGCTGTAATGGTTGTTTATTGGCATTCCTTTTCTTGGTTGTAGGGCGGGTACATGGCTGCCAAGGTTCAGAAGCTGGAGGAGCAGTTTCGCTCAGACGCTGCTAAGCAGAAGGATGGGACAGCGTCCGCAATATTTAGTGGAGTTGCCATCTACGTTAATGGATACACAGGTTGAGTTCTTTGTACTTTTTTGGTGCCCAGTTTTATCATGAACTTTTTAGGATTGAGAATATGTTTTTAAATCTTCCCAGTTATTTATCATCCCTATTATTTACTTTTCTATTGCTGTAATAAGATTACATGACCAAGGCAATTTATGGAAGAAAGAGTTTGTTTTGTCTTGTGCTTCCAGGGGGATTGAGACCATTGTGGCAGGGAGCTGAGAGATCACATGTTAAGCCCCAAACATGAAGCAGAAAGAGTGAACTGGAATTGAGGCTAGTCTACATACTCTCAGAGCCTGCCCCTAGCAAGGAGTCACCACCAGTATTCAGATATTTGAGCCTATAGGAGACATTCTCATTCAAACAACTACATTCCACTCCTAGGCCCCAAAGGCTCAGAAGCCATTATTATAATGCAAAGTGTATTTAATCCTACTTCAAAAGCCCCCACAGTCTTCCACAGTCTCAATAAAACCCTGTGAGTTCTAAAAGTGAATTAATTTCAGCATACAATGGCACAGATACACATTACTATTCCTAAAAGGAGGAATGGAGACATAGTCAGAAAATGCTGGACCAAGCAAGACTGATAATGCAGTGTGTAAACACTGGATCCCCAGCTCAGCAATTCCCAGCTGTGGGCCATGACCCATATACAGGGATTGCCTAAGACCATCTGAAAATAGATATTTACATTACGATTCATGACAGTAGCAAAATTACAGTCATGAAGTAGCAACAAGAATAATTTTATGGTGGAGGGGGTCACCGTAACACAAGGAACTGTATTAAAGGGAAGGTTGAGAACCAGTGCTCTAGCTTAATCTAGTCTTACTATTGTGCATGCGGTTTGCTAGTTAGTAATTTCTCAAGTATTTTAGTTTTTATCTTTTTTGTTTTCCTGGGCCAACCATAGAATTTTAATGAATAAGTAACAATTTAACCACTTTTATAATTTTAAAAACTTGTTGTTTGGGAGAGTTATACATTACAATTTATAGGAATCAGTTATTCTTCATTTTACCCAGTGGGTCCCAGGGATCGAATTCTGATTGTCAGGCTTGGCAGCAAGCACCTTTATTTACCCAGGCAGCCACTATCTCTGCAGTCCTTAGTTGGTAATACATTTCATGAATTGTGTTTTCAGATCTCTGGTAAGAGTTCATAGTTTTGTGGGCCATATTGAGGTTTGATTTCATTTGATACCTCCCACCACCCCCAGGAACAGCCACTTGGTCTAGTGCTCTGTATTGAAATGCCTGTTTCTCCTTTATAATTACTTTTATACTTTAGGCAAAAATCATTTAGGGGTTAGCAAGATGGGTCACTGGTAAAAAGTACTTTCTGTGCAAGCCTGATAAACTGAGTCTGACCACTGGGACCCATGTAAAGGTGAAAGGAGAGAATGAACTCAACAGAGCTGGCCTGTAAGCTCTACACTTGGGCTGCCGAACACATGTGCACCCTCCCCTTCATACACAAGAATAAGAAAGTGTTTAAAAAAATCATTGGGACATGTTTGAGTGGATGTGTTTCTGAGTTCTCTACTTTTTTTTAAAATTGAGACAGAGCGCTCCCATGTAGCTCAGGCTAGCCTTAAACATGTGCTGCTCATGCCTCAGCTTCCGTAGTGTTGGGATTGTAGTTGTGTGTCACTGTTCTCCCTGACTGCTCTACTCTCTTTATGTCTGTCCTTTAACAGTACCCCAGTCTAAGTCATTGTTGCCTGGAGTGAGTCTTACTCTGGAGTTCTCTCCTTGCTTCTTCTGAATGAAGTTGGTTTGTCTCTCCTGGTCCTGGGCCTATCAGTACAAGCTTTAGAATATATTCCAGAATTCTATGAATTCAAAGTAACCTTGCTTAGGGCTTGGAGAGTAAGTAGTGTTGAACAATCAGATCAGATGGTAAAATTGACATCTTTTCTGTTTTCTGGCCAGTGAGTCTTCTTTCCCATTTTACTTTATTTTAGTTGGTTGAACAAATATATTTTAGATTCTCCTTGAGTACTAGGAACTATTTGAAAAGATACAATGGTTGATAGAGAATGTTGGTTTTTATAACAAATAAGGTGTGTGAGTCAGATGTACACCAAAGGGAAAATGTCATAGGAATCCTGTAGGAATTGGATAAATAGAAGTTTGCTTAGTTTTGATTATAGGTATGCTAGTGTTACTAGGCTTATGCTTTTAATTTTTATATTCTTTGTCAACAAGCTTACTACTCAGATTTTATGACTCTGTTCTTATACTTAATGGAGTTTTGTTTCTGTTCTTTGCCTCTGACAATTCCCTTTTCCTGTGGAGTGCATTTGGGAGTTACCCATGAAGATGCAGATCAAATTAGATTTTTCCTTCCTGTAAGCCAGTCTGTAGTATTGAATTGTATCTCATCACTGCTAGAAACATTTTCTTTGAAACCTGAGCTTTACCTCTCTTTGTCAGGAAGCATCTTTTGTGAATTGGTAGACCAGGGAGCACCCAAGAGCCTTTGATTTGCAGTTTCTTTGCTTCCTTTCTTTTTGTGTCCTTCTCTTCAAAATGTTATTCCTAAAAGAATCCTTCTGACTCCTTCCAGTCATTGAGGCCCTTTTCAGCTTTCTCTCTGTTCATTGTATGTATTGTACTAGGCCTGTACTTGTTTATCTGGCTTCTGTAGAGCACAGTCTTGAGTCTGGTTCTTAGACTCTTGGGCTACTGTAACATTCTCATTTCTCATTCTCTGTTCCTTTTATTTATTGCAGCTAGCACGTACTGTAAATTTTACTAATTTTTCTGTAGTACAAAACAAAACGTCATCCTAAGGTTGCTCCTTTACAAAACTGCATCATACTATGATTGTTAAAGTTTAGTGTCTCTATGAGTTATGTAATAAGGGAAGAAATGTGAGACTAAGAAAAAGAAAAGGCAGTTGATGCCTGGAGGGTGTCTCTTAAGAATACACTCCCAGTTTTAATATAACTGTACTGGTAGGAGTGGTTTGAACCAAAGACTTCTTCCTGCATGGCAGATCTCTGCTAGGGTTTCTACTTCTGTGATAAATAAAACACCATGATCAAAAGCAACTTGAGAGGAAAGGGGTTTATTTTGCCCATACTTTCAGGCAACAGTCTTATCACTGAGAGAAGGCAAGGCAGGGAAGTGAAGCTCTGTTCACTGGTTTGCATAGCTTGCTTTCTGATGCAACCCAGGACCACATGCCTAGGGGTAGCAGCATCCACAGTGGGCTGGGCCCTCTCACATCAATCATTAGTCAGGAAAATGTATGACAGACTTTCCTATGGGCCAGCCTTATAGAAGCATTTTCTCCATTAAGAGTGCTTTTCTCAGATAGCTCTGGCTTGTCAAGTTTACAAAAACCCTAGCTGGGACACTTTGTTTCTTACTGTTTTGAGACAGGATTTTATTGGGTGGGCCAGGCTGTCCTTGAGATACTGACATTCTTTCTGCCTTGATTGTTTCATTGGTTACATTGTTTTTGTTGTTAATCTACATGGGATCAGGGAAACATGACTTGATAAAAATGTGTCATTTTACTCCTTAAATGAATCTCTTCTTTTTCATTAGTCAGTGACAGAGACTTTGAGCCTCTATGTGTTGTTTTTGTTAAGAAGGACTGAAACTACTAATTTGTTGAACTGAAAATACTGAGGTTCAACTGAAATTCTAGTAGTGGTGGTGAAGCAAGATTGTTATTGTAATTTTTGCCCTTTTTTGGGCTCTTGGAGTTCCAGCGGGCCACCTGTTGCAGTACACTATTTAAAGTTAAAAAGTTGATAGAATCAGGAAAAGGAATCATGCTACCCTGAGCACATAGTGAGTTCCAGGCCAGCAGTCTGGTTGACTATTGTCTCAGGTCTGATGTTGTAAGATTGTCCTGTAAGATACTGCTCTCATTGCTTGGGAGGAACAGTAATCCTATAAGATGATTATTTTTTCAAGTGGCGGATTCTTACAGGATTCTTAGAGGATTCAGGATTATGACTTTGCCTTTAGTCTTGAAAGGGGCTGTATCTAACGAAAGATTAGATGTCATAGGCTTTTACACTAGTACTCCTTGACCATTATTATACCTGCACAGAGTTAAGCAGGAAGACAGTGAAGTAGACATAGATAAGGTGAGGGCAGGCTGTCAACCTCGTTGTGAGTTACCTTGTGGTCTCAGATGACATACCTTTCATAATAGCAGCTTCAGAGTGCTTGTTCTAAGGAAGATCCACTAGAAGCTAGTTTTCTTTCCTGAGCTACTTCTACTTGGTTATAATTCCAAAATAGTTTTATTTTGCACTCCAGAGAGGTGAATGTTTGATTTAAGCTTGATGTATGTGTTGATGCTGTTAAAACGGACATACTAATAAGTAAGTGTGTGTGTGTGTGTGTGTGTGTGTGTGTGTGTATGTGTATTTATGTTCTTTTGAGACAGGGTTTCTCCATAGCCCTGGCTGGTCTCAAACTCAAAGAGATCCATCTGCCCTATCTCCAGAATGCTTGGTTTAAAAGTGTGCACCACCATTGCCCAGCCCATTTATTGTTAATAAATGTTTATTAACAGAAAAGGAAAAAAGTGTGAAATTTTACCATCTTTGGAGACAAAAAAATTTACCTTTCTTCTTTTAGTAAATACTTGCTTTATTTTGGGAGCCAGTACTGGGGATTCAACCTAGGACCTTATGCATATGAGCCAAGCATTCCACATTGAACTACCACCCCTAGCCCTTAGCAAACACAGGATGCTGTGTACATTGTATAGTTAAAAATGTGTGTGTGCACGTGGTTTGGGGCTGGTGAAATGTTTCAGCAGGTTCCAATGCTTGCAGCCAAGCCTGATGGACCTGAGCTTTCTTTCCTAGAACTCATATGGTAGGAAAGAACAGACTGCTCTGACTGCTGTATGCATGCCATGGCATTCTTCTAGTATCTACACACACACACACACACACACACACACACACACACACACACAGCAATTGTTTTTTTTTAAAGTTAGAAAAAAAATTTTTTTTAAGGGCTTAAAGAATTTAGCACCTGATCCTGGGCTGCCACATAGACTGTTTAGGAGTATTGCTATAACAGTCAAAGTTTACACAACTGGTAGAGGTTGTTGTGGAGGGAGCACATTGCATTTGTGTGTGTCACCCACTGCTGGAGGCAGAGCTGCCGTGGACCAGCTGCTGAGCAAGTACAAGTTTCTAGAATCATTGAAAAAAAAAATCTTTTTTTTGTTTCTTAATTTTTAATCAAGTGTGAGTTTCTTGAGACAGAAGCCTGACGTTGAATTGTGAGTCTTTGACTATATATGTATGACTGTAGAAGATTAGCTTAACTTTTTCTAGTCTTTGTTTTTCTATAAAACAAGCATAATTTCCTTCATGACAGTGTTGTGAGAATTAGAGAAAGTAAATACAGAATGTAATAGGAAAACAATCAGATGTTTTCAGTCTCTTTATAATTCTCCTTACCATACATTTGTAGTATTATATACTGTATATGGACTATCACAATACACATTGTGGGGATAGAGAAATGGCTAAGCAGTTAAGAATGCAGGACTGCTTTTCCAAAGGACTCAGGTTCAATTCCTGGTACCCATGTGGCAGCTTACAGCCCTTTGTAACTCAGTCCCAGGGGATCCAGTGCCCTTTTCTGGACACCAGGAATGAGTGTTGCACACCAACATACATACAAGCAAAACTCATACATGTAAATAAAACTAAATTTTAAAAAATGCACATTTGCTGGATGATGGTGGTGTATGCCCTTAAGAGTCAGAGGCAGGTGGATCTCTATGAGTTGGAGGCCAGCCTGATCTACAGAACAAGTTGTAGGACAGCCAGGTCTACTCAGAGAAACTGTTTCTGTGTAGGGAGGGGATACTTTGATTTAAAAATATTTCATTATGTCAATACAAGGACTATTGTAAAATTAATCTGCTTATAATTGTACTTTTTTTTAAACCATTATTGCATAAATCCAATTAATAATTTGCTCATTTAGAACTGTAGAGTCTGAAATTTTAGGAACTAATTTTGGCACACTGCCTTTATAAAAATTTCTTGTTAGAATAAGTGCTATTTTTTATTCTGCTGAAGTCATCTGTGTAGCTGCTGAATCTCAGAAACAGTGATTTTAACAGACCTTCACTAAAATGTCAGTGTTGGTTTGTGGGTAAGGATTTGTTGGTTTTTAGTCTTGACTTTCTTATCCTCTGATTTACTTAACATATTCAAGGAGGATACATAATGGGCCATGGGATGTTAGCTAGATGTTTGAGGTAGTTTGTTCTCCACCTTGGCTCAGGCATGTGCCATTGTTGGGGATGATACTCTGATGTGTAATACGGCCGATAAGATTTGGAGAAGAGAATTGCTCTCAGTCTAGGTTTGTTCAGACTTCACATTTTGTATCCATACTCTCCAGTATCCATACTCTCCCTCTCCACATTAATTTTTATCTTCAGTTTCAGGTATTTAAGATATTTTCTATACTTAAGAATATGAAACAAGATTGAAAAGGTTATATTGCTTGGGACCAGTGAGTTGGTTCACTGGGTAAAGATGCTTATCTCCCCAATCTGGTGACCTCAGTTCAAACTATTACCTACAAAAAAGTGAAAAGAGAACCAGCTTCACAAAGTTGTCCTATTAACTTCCAAAAACAAATGCTGTGGCCTTTTGCTATTGGAAGAATTTTCCTCTAGTAGTTGGGAGATATATTAGGCATAGTCTGTTTACCCCTCAGAAGGTTCCATGATAAACCAAAGTTTGCCCTAAGTCAGTGAGTGGTTCTCAACCCTCTTAATGCCTTGGCCCTTTAGTATAACTATTCCTCACCATGTGGTGACCCCAACCATAAAATTATTTTTGTTACACTTTGTAACTGTAATTTTGCTGCTGTTCTGAATCATAATGTAAATTCTGTGTTTTCTGATTGTTAAAGATGACCCCTGTGAAAGGATCATTTAACCCTCCTCCCACCCACTGGGTTCATAGCCCACAGGTTGAGGATCACTGCCCTAAAGAATGAATGAGTTTATTAGGCTTACTGGCACAGCAGTGTGTAAAGGGTTTCAGGCAGAAATGTGGATGACCTTACAGGAGCCACACTGGATGGTCTGCACAGTGTGGATAATGACTTCCATGGCTGTGTAGAGGGAGCCCCCTTCCTTAGCCTTTTCAACCTATGTACTCTGTCATCTTCCAAAGCCCCTGAGGCCAGTTATACTAGTGCAAAATTTGTATATAACTGGTTAGGAAGCATGGCTGGATGCTCAGGGGAGCATCCAGTGACTCTCCTGGATTCCTGTGAACTAACATCAACAGTCAACAGGGTCAGCTGGGGTGACCTACAGGTACAGCATAACTCAGGATGATAGTAGGCTCAGCGACTAATTCTGCATAACATGTGCTCATACACATCATGTACATACATGTAACAAATAAAAATTTAAATGGTATTTCTTAGTCTAATATTTTTGCATTAGGTATAATTTTTTGCCTTTGATATTAATTAATTGGTAACTTTAAAAATATTTTTAGCCGGGCGGTGGTGGCGCACGCCTTTAATCCCAGCACTTGGGAGGCAGAGGCAGGCGGATTTCTGAGTTCGAGGCCAGCCTGGTCTACAGAGTGAGTTCCAGGACAGCCAGGGCTACACAGAGAAACCCTGTCTCAAAAAACCAAAAAAAAAAAAAAAAAAATATTTTTAAGGCTGGGCAGTGGTGGTACATGCCTTTAATCCCAGCACTCAAAAGGTAGAGACAGGTGGATGTCAGTGAGTTTGAGGCCAGCCTGGTCTACGAGTTCCAGGACAGCCAGGGCTACACAGAGAAACCCTGTCAAAAAAAAAAAAAAGTCTGTCTATGGTCAGTTCAACTTCACAGTAGACGATTCAGCAGCTGAGAAGGTGCGCCTGATCAAGAAACAGGTGGCGACAACTTGGAGCAGGCATACATTTTTAGGTGTGAGGGCTCAAGGTAGGAGAGCTGCTCCCAGAATAGAGAAGTCAGACAGGAGCAAGAATAGTTGATACTTTTTTAAAACATAAAGTTTCCATATTAGATGTGCGAAAAAGTTCTAAGCATTTGCCTTATTAGGATTTGGCTCTTGTGTGAGGTCCTTGCTTGCTCTACTAGATGTCCTTTAGCAGTTGATGTTTTTGTCTTGGTCTGTCTCTTGCAGCCAGGAGAAAATAATGTGTCAAGGCAGCATCGCTTTTTCACTCTGTTACTGTCTCCGAGCTTTGTTTTATGGCAGCATAGCCAAGGAGAATGTGAACTAGTGTTTTATAAGTTGTCCTTGTTAAGGGATTATTACAACGTAACATTCTGCTGTCTTGTACATTAAACTATTAATATATTTCAATACTGATTTTTACAGATCCTTCTGCTGAGGAATTGAGAAATCTAATGATGTTACATGGAGGTCAATACCATGTGTATTATTCTAGATCCAAAACAACACACATTATTGCTACAAATCTTCCTAATGCCAAAATTAAAGAATTAAAGGGGGAAAAAGTAATTCGACCAGAATGGATTGTGGAAAGGTAAGTTTAACCAGTAAGTTCTTTAAAAACTGCAGTGCTTTTTATTTCTGTTACAAAACTGGCCCACTTTCAAATGGCATATGTCTACTGACTGAGTCTAAACACATGGTTTCCTTGGAAGCCATTTCAAATGCAGAAATGTGGCAAATAGTGTTGCCACTTCAGCTGCCAGAAAGCAGAGGAGATAATACAGACAAGCAGCAAGAAGCAGTCATAAGTAGGACTTGACAAGAGAAGCTTTATCTGTTCAACAGGTATTTATGTGCTTACTGCTCGGTGGGGCAGTTTGTACTTGGGAATACCAGTTAACAAAGCCTTGTAGTGCCACGTGGAATGTTCCTTCTATTGGGAGACAGAAAACAGTAAGCTTTATACAGAGTAAATCTTTTTTTTTTTTTAATGTGTTTATGCTGGTCAATGTTGAGTTGACACAAGTTAGTCATTTGGGAAAAAGGAACCTCAATTGAGAAATTCCCTTCATCAGATTGGCAATAGGCAAACCTGGAACATTTTCTCGATCAGTGATTTGTAGACTGTCTCAGCCTAGTGTGAGCTGTGCCACCTCTGGAAAGCAAGCAGTTAAGTAGCGCTTCTGTCCAGCATCTGCTTCAACTTCTGCCTCCTGACTTAACTTCATGATGGCTTGTAAGCTGTGTGATGACGAACCCCATTACTCTCCAAGTTGTTATTGGTCATGGCGTTTATCAAAGAAATAGAAAACAAAGTAAGCAATACATGACTTTTTAAAAACCCCCTTGATATGTTAATATAGCAAGCTAATGTGGGCCTAAATTTCTGAGAGTAGGGTCAAAGGAGAATAGTTTGCAAACTGTTACTTTGTTTGCTTTAATAATACCAAAAACAAAAAATAGAACCTAGGGCATTGTACAGGTTTTCTACAAAACCACATCCCTCAAAACATGGATTAGTTTTGGGTTTTTGAAGGCAGAGTCTTAGTAGCATAGGCTAGCCTTGTCCTCATCTCCATCCTCCTACATCAGTCTCTTGAATGCTGGGAATTAGCACATTTGGATCCTATTAGGTTTTGTTGATCATACGTTCTTATCTCTTTTATTAATTTAGAAATGATAAAATATAACTAGTGAGCAAAAATACTTATAATTATTTTCTAATTTAAAATAGGTCTTCTGGAACTTTGGTGATAAACTGAAACTTAAAGATGGATTATTTGAAATTTTATACATATAAGCAGCATCCAGTTCTTGCCTTCTGTGTATGCACATGCATCCACATGAATCAAATGTATATGCATGTGTCCTGGAAGTCAGAAGAGGGCATCAGATCCTCTGTAAGACTAGTGCATGTGTCAACTAATAAGCCATCTCTTCATCCCCCAGATCCGTTTTTTTCTCTATTTATAGCCTTAACTAATTCTTACAGAACTTATGAATGTACTTCACAGAATTTATTCATCATTATATAGTGAATAAAATCACATAAATTGTTAAAAATGAGAAGCAGTTTGAAAGTAGAAAAGATGGTCTTTGGACTCTAGGGATAACTTTGGGTTCATGTCCAAATTTAATGATCTTCTGTCCATATAATTTGGATTTAGAAACTTTATATATTTACCTAAAATGTTTACTTCATTTTTTGTAAAAGAATGTGGGTTCCAAAGAGATAGCTCAGCAGATAAAGGGACTCAGTGCCAAGTATAAGAACCCAAGTTTGGTCAGTATGGGTCCACACAATAGAGGTCAAAATCTGATTGCCGCAAGTTATTCTTTGACCTTTATGTATGTGCACACATACATACACACTGTCATACACTCTATCCCCCCGTCTCTGTCTCTCTCTCTTTCTGTCTCTAACAAAATTCATAAATATAAAATAACAGATATGGATATCTATCTGTTGTGGTTGTATGACTCATTTGTGCAGACTACACATAGTGGATGTGTTATAGAGGCATACTATACAAGAAGTACTGTCATTAACTTACTCTGTAAACTTCAGTAAATTCTAAAAGTTTAATAATGTTTTACTACTTCTAGAGAGTCAGATATATTTGTCAGACTATAAAAGATATGTAAACTTTAGAGGATTCAATGTGAAGGCCTGTCCCTATACCATCCCTCTAATGCCTTCTCTCATGCTGTGTTTGTTATATAAGATTAATAATTGTGGCTTTTAGTCCTGTGTCTCCTCATAAGACTCACGTGAAGCTCTCAGGGGAAGAAGTTAGCTTCTCTCCAGAGAAGAAGAATGTTGTCACGGACAGTTCTGTCAGTGTCGAGACTAGAGTATGGATCTGAGTTTATAACACTTAGATTTGGAAAGACTTGGGGAGAATTGACAGTAGGCAAATGGGGAGAGGGCTTATCTGCTCATATTAGATTTCCATGATTACAGTTACTGCCTCTTTACCAGTCCTTCCTGAATTCAGCTAAAAAGATGCCATGAGAGGTAAAGCAGCTGAGATGTGACACATTTTAAAACAAGATTTTAGAAAAGCTCAGAGTTAATGCTCAATCGTCCTTTTAGATGAGCACATAACTTAGATGGCCTGTTGACCTCATTTTTGAATGAGAAGATAAAATCAGTAACTCACTGATTTGTCCAAGAAACACCTAGATTTAGAACTCAGATTTTTTTGATTACTGTGTGTGTGTAATCTATATACCATTTATCTAGCCTTTGTATAGAGGAATAGAGTTAGGGGGTAACTGGACCATTTTTTTATATGTGTTTTTTATGGGCACATAAACCTTAATATGTAAAAATCTGTTACATTATTAAAGCATAAAATAGTTTTGGTTAATTCATAGGACTTGGGTTTGAACACTACACCTAGTCATGTTGATCCCAGGTGTATTTAAATGAGATTTTTTGTTAACATTTGTTAATTAACAACTGGTATATTCTATTTTTTTCTATAATTGATTTTTCTCTTTTCCTTTGAGCAGTTTTAAAGGTATTTAGAGTATTGCTTTCGTTAGAATTCCCTAAGTGTGCCATTAAACCTAAGCCAATATTATATGTGAACAGTGTAGTCCTAGCTAGGGTCTTGGTATTCAGTCTTATAGTGTGGAAATAGATCCCCTTTGGTTAGGTTCATGTGTAGATTGCATGTGACTGGAGGGAGATAGATGGAGCTGGTTTTGTTTCACATTAAGCCAGTTCACTGAGTTTGCTAGTAGGACTGATTCCCAGAGGTGGTCTTTTCTTTCCCTCCTAATTCCCAAATAGTATATTAGCTTGTTTATAAATGTCTTATAATCTGTAGATATTATATTGCCATGGACTAAAACTTGGGCTTCTAACTATATTCAATATAGAGTATTACACATTCCTTTTGATGTTTACATTATTGTCTTATAGCCCTACACATTGAGATAATTTTCCCTAGATTAACTCTAGCTATCTTCCAACCACTTACATGTGGTTGTGGAATACGTACTAGAAGCTAGTTTGCAGCACTCACATGGCATCTCGTAACTGTCTCTAATACCAGTTTAAGCCATCTGCCACTTCTGGCCTCTGGGTACCAGGCATGTACACAATGCAGACATATGCAGGCAGAGCATTCATAAAAAAACAGCTAAAATGTATGTTCCTTACCCTTCAGAATGTAAAGAATGAAGAAAACACTGTGGACTGTATTAAGAGAAAGAGCAGGAAGCTATTACCATATTCTTTCTTTTTCAGAGCTTGTGCTATTTTGGTATATGGTTAGAAAGTTTAGGTAGCTTGGATTGTTCAGAGTGGGTTTCAGTTCTGGATGTATAAGCATACCTTAATGTTGACACAGTAAATCGAGAAGACCCTCGTTATTTTCTCAGCACATGCTTAGCCTTCGTTATCTGAAGCCTACTCCTGAGAAAAGAAGGTCCATACGTGAATGACTGTGCAGGTGTTCCATGATGACACAACATTGGCTACAACTAGACAACATTGGATTTGCAGAACTATGTTCATATAAAAAGCTCTATTGTTACAGATGCAGAGGGTATTTTTAAATTTTAATTTGTTAAAAAATTTGGGATCTGCTTGTAACTGCTAATTTAAAGTCATTGGCCGTGGATAAAGGTAGGCTATAGTTCAGAAAACAGCTCTGAAGTTTACTTTGAGAATTTTACCTGGACTACATGGAAGGTAAAGCAAGAGTCAGTACTCAAGGAAGGATGGCAGGCAGGGGAGCACACGTGAGTGTAAGGGCTGAGTTTGAGGTTAGGTGGGGACATTAGAGCAAAGGCCCATTATTTTATGTTTTAAAGACTGGGTCTCTCATAGAACCTGAGCTCACTATTTTAGCTAGGCTGGTTGAATAAATTTCAGGAATCCTCCTGTTTTACTTGCCTAAATTATAGGAATTACAGATGTGTGGGGGCCCAGCTGACTTTCCGTGTGAGTGCTAATGATCCAAACTCAGCTCCTCATACTCTCATGGCCAGTGCTTAAGACTGAATCATTTTTATGGTTGAAAATACAAATATTTTAAAACTATGCTCTCATAAAATGTTTCTGCCCATATACTCAACGATTTATTAGTGGATAAGCAGAGATAATTGAGTGTACAAGTGATATATAATTGCCTGGCTTTCAAATTATAAGTAGTTTTGGCTAACATGATATACTGTTGTTCTGCATTCTAACTCATTTTACTAATCATCTCTAAGGACCTGTGACTTGAGACCTGCTGTGTTTCTGTTGGCTGTCTTGTGTTCTGACATTCTCTGTGGACTTACAAGACTAATTCTGCCGGGCCATATTTACTTAGGAGGTGAACTTGGTCTTATACCCTTGGGTGCTCAGTGATGATCTGAGTCACCCTGCCTGCTGTCATTGAGGTCATTAAGGTAGACAAGTGAGCACAAGACTACGGATTTTATTTGTTCTTTGCCTCTTGGTTTTACTTAAAATGTCCAAGTGGTTTATTTACATGGGTGATTTTCATGCTGTCCCTCCTTTATCATCCATGTTGAAAAGGATGGAGAGTTACAGAGGATTCTCTGTAACTGTGTTAAGTATCTCTGCTTGAGGATGCAGGGAGCAAGTGAGTTGTCATAAGTGGAGCTGTAAGAGGTACATCCATCCGTGTTGAGGTAGTTAAGGGGAGACAGATGTGACAGAATATAAAGTAGCAAATATCTAACTTGAGGATTTTTGGTTCAGGTGTTGTAACTGACAATTTTGGTATGCCTTAATAATCGTAAATGGATAATGAAAACCTAAATGGTAAATGAAAATTAAACCTTTCTAGCTTATGTTCTTATTGTTGTGATTTAGTAGTTTTAGCATTTCAATGTAGTATTAGGTACATTCAGTAGGATTATTAAAGATCTACTACTATAATTATACAGAGGACAATGGCTATACAATTACTTAGTTCCATTTTCACAAGGGTATTATGAGTGTTGACTCAAGTTTAAAAAGTGGTTGTCTATAAGACAGTTCGATTATTTTCCACAGTGTTTCTTTCAGGCTATACAGAAGGTAGAAGAAAACTTTTAAAAATGTTGACCTTTTGATTCATGAGACAGGTTTTTATTATTTTTTATTAGGTTTTTATTATTTTCTTACATAATTTTAAAGAGAAAGTTTTAGCATTTATTTTTGGTTTATAAACCAGAGACTTAGTGAAAAAAAAAACATAAACTAAGTTGCAGCAATGTCTCATGTAATAAGACTCTGGCCACCAAGTCTGCCAACGTGAGTTTGATTCCCCAGGACATCACGGTGGAAGGTCAGAATATGACTTCTTCTATCAGCTGTCCTCTGATTTCCACTGAGTCAGTCAGTTTCTGTCTGTCTGTGTCTCTGTGCCTCCCTTTCTGCCTCCCTTCTCTTCCCCTCCCTCCTCCTCACATGTGGTGCAAAGGAAGGAAGAAGACAGACATTCCCTTTTACTTAAACATCTACCTGCTTTAAAATTTGGTTATTGGTCTAACTATTATTAACCAGTTATTTGAGATTTGAAAGTGAAATATTTTTAAAGATAGATAGTAGCTAATATAGCTCATAACTTATTAGCAAGCAGAGATCAATTTAAGACATCTTAATGAAGACAGATATGCCCATAATCCCAACACACTTGGAAGGTAGAGGCAGGAAAGTTCAGGGCCAGCCTTGAGCCTCATGGGACACTTGGTGCTTCAAGAAACAAACTGAATTTGTTTTAGCTCTGAAGTATAAAAGGAGTGTGCCAGTATCACTCAGTACTGTTGTGCTAAAGTTCACTTAGACTTTTGCCATAGTGCTTGAGCTGTATTGAACACTTGGGGTTAAATATGTTTCAGCCTAGTGATCATACCAAAAAAATCTCTTGTCTCTTAAAACTCTGATACAGACAAAAGTTATTTAATTATCTTAATATAAATTCTTTATTTTGACCTATATTCTTGAATTTTAGTTTTTACTTATAATATATTTAATAGTATATTAAAACCACTAAAACAGATAAGAAGAATACACTAAGAAACATATGACCTGTTAACTTTGAATTTTTATTTATTTTATTTATTTATTTATTTTTTATTAAAAGCTGAGGACCAAACCCAGGGCCTTGCACTTGATAGGCAAGCACTCTACCACTGAGCTAAATCCCCAACCCCAATTCGAATTTTCTTGAAGCTCATTTTCACCTAGTCTGAGACCTTGATTTGGTATTGCCTTTTTGTTTTAGCATCAAAGCTGGGAGACTCTTGTCCTCTGTTCCATATCAGCTGTACACCAAGCCATCCACTGCACAGAAGAGTCTCAACTTCAATCCTGTGTGCAAGCCTGAGGATCCTGTGCCAGGTCCAAGCAATATAGCCAAACAGCTCAACAACAGGGTGTAAGTTTGTGTGCATTGGAAAGCCAACAAAAATGGTTTTAGTAGTGAGTATGGTCCCTGTCCTACTGAAGATAGAAGCAAATATTTTAAAAGCTGGGCATTCAACTTTAATAGACATTAAAATATGTATAGGGCCAGTTTTGTAGTAAAGTTAGAGAAATACAGTGTAAGCAAGTTTTTCTAGTTATGCTAAATTCTCTTATCAGCTGATATTTTAATTTCTTGTGGATTTCCATGAAAAGTATTATCTGACAAGCAACTTTCTGAAGCATGTTACTTTCTCAAAAACCTAACTAACTATACCAACTATACTTTCTTACACTCCATACGTAGAAAAATAATTAAAATGCTTACATTTGCAGGTTACTTTTGAAAAATTAAACATTTGTAATTTTAAGTCTGTATTTTTGGTTCTCAGTTATGGATGTGGAGTGACTCTAGGCTTTATTATGTATGTTTTAAAAAAATATGTTGATTTAAGTTTTAATTTAATTCTGAGTGCATTGGCTTGGTTCTCAGTTATGGATGTGGAGTGACTCTAGGCTTTATTATGTATGTTTTAAAAAGATACGTTGATTTAAGTTTTAATTTAATTCTGAGTGCATTGGCTTCTCTTTTAGAGTGGCCTGTTGTCTTAACTTGTGCATGAAGGGTCATCGTCACTGTCCTTGTCCATTGTTACTGAGTTGCTCTCTGTGGGAGTTCGGTTTTCCCCAGGAGATGAGGAATCTCACCTGGAGAACCCAATGTCACTGCCTCCTCCGTAGTCTTTTCTTCTTGTCACCTGTTATTTATCATACTCACCTAGAAGTCCACCCCAAAATTCTTTAATAGCCTTCAAACTACTAGTCTTCAACATACTGTCAAAAAATACATTAATAACTTGAGGAAAACCACAACATATGCCTTTTTTCCCCTTAAGCCAATACAAGTAGAAAATAGATTTGTCTCAATTTTATTTCTGTTGCTAGTTTTAATAAGAATTTACCTTGAGATCTGACTTCTTAATAACAAATAAAAATATTGTTAGTTTTGCTTAAATGTGTGTTTTACTGTATATCTTACATATGTGTTTTTCAAATGTGCATCTGCCTAGTCTGAGGTGCCAGCATAGAAACAGTGTATTACTAACTATATATTTTCTTGCCTGTAATACATGGATTTTTGTTGGTTGTGCTACTATTGATCATGTAAAGAGTTATAATATTTTGACACCAGAAAGCTCATTGTCAGTTTTATTTTGTTTTTGAAACAGGGTTTTTCTCTGTGTAGCCCTGGCTGTCCTGGAACTCTATAGACCAGGCTGCCCTCAAACTCACAGAGATCTGACAGCCCTCAGTCTTCAAGTCCTGTGCCCAGCTTGATTTTTTTTTTTTTAAATTCATCATTTTGTTGACTTTGGGGTGTTTGGTGAGGGCTAGTATAATTTGCTTTTTAAATATATTTAAGTGGATCTTCACTTTCTGCTCTATCCTTTATCTTAACAGGCAGGTGCCCTCTGATTTGAGACTGAATTTGTGTCCTCTGATTTGAGGCTTTCTTTTACTTGTTTCCAGTTTGTGTTCTTCTTTCACTGGCGTTTTGTTGTTTTGTTTTTGTTTTTGTTTTTTTTGGGTTTTTTTTTTTTTTTTTTTGGTTTTTCGAGACAGGGTTTCTCTGTGTAGCTCTGGCTTTCCTGGAACTCATTCTGTAGACCAGACTGGCCTCGAACTCAGAAATCCGCCTGCCTCTGCCTCCCAAGTGCTGGGATTAAAGGCGTGCGCCACCGCCGCCCGGCTTTAACTGGCGTTTTATGAGAGTTGGATGTACTCAGAATTGGCTGTCATAGTGCATGAAAGATTCAGCCAGAGCCTGAGACAAGTAGAGATGGGTGGGAATTTTGTTTGTTTGATTTTGCATCTATCCCATATGATTTTTCTATGTAGTCAGACCATCATTACCAAGAAGTCAAGTTGGCACTAGGGTGAGGGCCTTAAGACAACATCTGGTAGGGCTGTAGTCTGACCTTCAGTCTGGAGTCACAAGTGTAATTAGAGTAACACTGTAGACAGACATTTGAAAGAGTAAATTACTGATATAATTCAGTTTGGGATATAGTTACTCATATATCTTTATGAAGACAAATGAATTTTTTCTTATTGATGTTACTTAAACAAATTTTGTCCTTATTAATGCTACTTAAAAAACAAAACATGTAGCCAGGATATGAATTTAGTATAACATTTGTCATAGATCCTGCCTGCATGTGTAAGCCTGTGACTATATGATCTAGATTGTCGTTGGATATCTGTGGCATCTAAATATACATTTCTGGGTTAATTGTTAAAGTGCTGTCATTTTTCTTGCAAAAAAGTATTGTATGCTGAATTAATACTGTGTATTTGATTCTTATATCATACCATCTAGAATAGTAGTAAGCCAGCCAGTTTGTAGTTGAGTACAGTCTTCCCAGCTCTCATGTTGACTGGAGCTAACTAGAGACTTCAGTCCCATGTGTTGTGGTATTGGGTTTAATGTATTAGAGAATGGCTTACATTAAAAGCAAAGTAAAACTAGGAGCAGGGACTCAGGGAAAACTTACTGTTTATTTTATGAAAAGCAGATGTTACTCACATAGTAAATAAATGACAACTCCTATGCTTTGGAAATAGAGGTGATAGTTTTTCTAGAGAAAGTTTCAGAACACCAGTGGGCATGCCTGGGCATGCCTTTAATTTCAGTACTTGATAAATGTCAGTAGAAGGCCATTTAAGGAGTAGGCAACTTAGACCGTTTTTGGTTTTTTGTTTTTTTGTTTTTTTTTTGTCTTTTCGAGACAGGGTTTCTCTGTGTAGCCCTGGCTGTCCTGGAACTCACCCTGTAGACCAGGCTAGCCTTGAACTATCGAACTCAGAAATACACCTGCCTCTGCCTCCTAAGTGCTGGGATTAAAGGTGTGTGCCACCACTGCCCGGCTTTTTTTTTTTTTTTTTCTTTTTTAATTGAAAAGAAAGAAAATATCCATGTTTCGTTAGTTTGGATAAGGATGATCCTTTGTTCAAATAAAAATATAATGTTTATTGTTTAGCTTTTTAGTATTTAAGAGGGAAACAGTAAGTTATAAAGAGAATTTGTATTTTAAGCTTTCAAGTCAGATATATTAACTTAAACTTGTTTATTCTTTAGAAATCACATAATTAAGAAGATTGAGACAGAAAATGAAGGGAAAGCAAACGGACTGAGCAGCTGGAATGAAGACAGTGCAAATGATGATTTTAGTTTTGAGGATCTGGACCATACATTTCTAGGAAGGAAACAAAATGGAGTAATGCATCCCAGAGATACCACTGTCATTTTTAATGGACACACTCATAGTTCAAATGGTGCCTTAAAGACACAGGATTGCTTGGTGCCTGTGGGCAACAGTGTTGCTAGCAGGCTCTCTTTGGACTCCACCCAGGAGGAGAAGAGGGCAGAGAAGAGCCACACTGACTTCAGAGACTGCACAGTGCAGCATTTGCAGCACAGCACCAGAAGTGCAGATGCTTTGCGGAGTCCACACAGAACTAATTCTCTCTCACCATCTTTGCACAGTAACACTAAAATCAATGGTGCTCACCACTCCACTGTTCAGGGGCCTTCAAGCACAAAAAGCACTTCTGTTCTGACTCTTAGTAAAGTAGCGCCTTCAGTGCCATCCAAACCATCGGACTGCAACTTCATTTCAGATTTCTATTCTCGTTCAAGACTGCATCACATCTCAACATGGAAGTGTGAATTGACTGAGTTTGTCAATACCCTACAGAGACAAAGTAGTGGTATCTTTCCTGGAAGGGAAAAGTTAAAAAAAATGAAAACAGGCAGGTCTTCTCTTGTTGTAACTGACACAGGTAGATACTAAAATTGTTTTCTTCAAAACAGTTCTATTTAATTTTGTTCTTACATTTTCACTTGTATTCTAATCATTACAAACTTCTTAATATAGAAAGCCTCCAGGAATACCAGGTTATATAAGTTACAGTAAGTATAACTGAAAACTTTATTACTGTTTTTTATATTACATTTAATTGTGGTAGCTGAAAATGCTGGGTCATTTCAACACTGTCAGAACTGGGATTCCAAGCATTCTTTCCTCATGTAGACTTTATAAATTGTTGAGTTTGAACTGTATAAATATAACATTTTATATTCCATGCCTAATCTCCTGTGAGAATGAGGTTGATTGGTAAGGGTAATTGTGAATTTCTAGAAGCTTGCTTCATTAAGTATTAAACACTGACATATAACTTGCACTTAGAGTGTAATTTTAGTGAGATTGTTTTTATATCTATTTAGATTGTTTATGTGTGTGTTTAATATCTGTCATCTAAATCCAACAGGCTGTTTGTTGTGTGACAGTTGTTACTTAAACTAGATTTTAGTACAGATCCAGGTTGAAGTTTTGGTTGTTTTTGACAAAGGGTTTGACTTGCTTTTGTGATTATGTGGCAAAAAGAAAGTTCCAAGATTGTGTGGTAGTAATCTTTATAACTGTGGAAAAGAAGACAGAGAGAGAAAGAGACTAATGGGGTTTTAGAAAGTTGTGGGGTCTTTCTGTGTGTTTGTTGTTGCTATATTTGTTTGATATATTCCAACATGCTTTTAGTCAAAATGCTTTTTGAACACTGTAGCTGTTAGATTATGTTATATCTTGATCTTTTAAACCTGGAGGTTACTTAATTTTGAAAGCTTTAAAATACTATTATGAATTAGGTCCGTGAATGGGAATAAATTCACAAATTTTATGTTGTTAGAAAGCATTTGGTAGGTATTTTATTTATACATTCTGTACCCCTTAATATTTAATACTATTTTAGGTTGTTTACCTTCTGTTTCATAACACTTTGAAACAGTAGAATTGTGATCTTTGTTTGCCTTACATGTGCAAAAGGCCCTTGCATTGCAGAAGAAAGATTGTGATTATTGAAATTTTCATAAAGAATAGCAAGAGTTTGATTTAGATAGTGCAGGCTGAATCTAAATCCTTGCTCTGCCACTTTCTGCAACAGGAACATGCATGAGTATTTGCCTTTCTTGCCTTTCTTGTCGTTCCTCTTATAGAGGAACGACAGGAATCAGTGATGTCCAGTTTATGTCTGCTTAGAAACAACAGGAAGAAAGGTTCAGTGCCTTGCATCTAGTGAGACTCGACAATGCCTCACAGTTAATACATGAAGTGGCTCAATTGTTCAGGAGTAGGTTGGGTTTTTTTTTTTTTAACTTAAATCATAAAGCTGATAGGCAAGAATATTCGCTGATATCAGAACTTCTTACAAGCTTAAAAAGTTCCTAGATTTTAGGTTCTTAAATTTAGGCCCTGTACTATTAAATTTTGGAGCACCAGAAGTAATAGTAATAATGTTATTACAAGGTAACCTCATCTTAATAGTTGGATTATAATAACCCTTATAAACATATCTATGGTTATTCTAAGTCATTGTCCTAATAAGATAATATTTACTTTCATCTCCATAAATGTAATAAACATGCGGCAGAACTAGTAACATCTAATGGTGTAAGAAAAGTTCCTTTGTATATAGATTTTTGTCCTGTGGACTACCTTTTGAAGCATGTCTAATGAGAACAGTAGCATGAAAGTTTAAGAGCTTAGAAATCAGACTAACTGGAGTAAAATCCCAGCGTGGGCACTCACTGGCTGTAGGACTTAAATTACTAGTCTGTAAAAGGTAGGAGTGGTAGTAATATTGTCCCCATAGTGCTGTGAGAATCTAAATTAACCCCTGTGAACCTCTTATGTCTTGTACCTACCAGGCACATTGAGTGGTAGTAGCCATTGTTGTTGTTTTTTAAGTAATGTTTGTAGGGTGTGGGGAATGGAGTTTATCAAAGGTGACTTAGCTCCATGGAACTAAGCATGTGAAAATGCAGATATCAAAATTGTTATGAGTAATCATTTTAAAATTATCTAATAAATCATAATTTTAAGATAAGACTTAGAAAGTAGAATAGGAAGTGATATCATAGTGTTGAAATTGATTTAAAATTCTATCAGAAAACTAAAGAAACTGAATATTTGTTTATTAAGGCGGTACACAGACCATAATATATTCTATATTAAGATACCATTTTGAAAATTTTGAAACTTAACTAGACCTGTTTTTAATGAGAAGAATTAGTTTGGGTTTGAATGTCCTTTTTTTCCTCCTAGGCAATATGTCAGTATTGAACTCACCCAGACCTCAGAGCTGTGTAATGCATGTTGATATGGATTGCTTCTTTGTATCAGTGGGTATACGAAATAGACCAGATCTCAAAGGTCTGTATTCTTGTTTGTTTTAAGAAAATTGATAAATTGTTATTAGTATACATATACATATACATATATATATATCCTAATTGATAACAATGTGTTCTTTGTAAAGTATTTTGATTTTCCTTGGTCAAAACAGTTCCTTAGTTCCAATTGGCTGGACTCCGTTATGACAGGTGTAGGGAAATTAGGAAACTACTGCTTGGTGTAAAGTGAAATATACAGAGAGGAGTGTCTTAAATTGAGGACTCTATTATCTCACATAGATGAGGGCTTCTGGATATTGTCTGTATCTTTTTATTGTTTGTTAAAGTGAATTTTCTGATATCCTGTGTCTTCAGACTTTCTATTCATTTTCCTGTTCAAATAACTCTCCACCCTTAATGTAGGTAAACATCCTAACTTTTGGCTTGTGATAATTTTGTACCATTGAGTTGAGTCATCTGGGCAGTCTGTCTGTTAGTGAAATTTCAGGTTTATTTATGTACTGCTTACTACCATTAGAAGTATTTATCCAGGATTTTCTTAAGTTCTTTCTGAACAAGATAGCTACTACATTAACATTTTCTCTTAAGTAAAGAAATAGTAGTTAGGGCAATGAAAATCCTAGAAAATTCTAGGTTCCCAACGGGGCCTTAATTTTGTCCTCGGTAGTTGCGACTCAGCCCTGAGTGGGGTTTTTAGAATGTGGAAGAATTGATTTTAGCCTATGGATAACTTACCATTTAGTTAGTATATTGTGATTTTGTTTAGTTTCTATGGAGGGCAGGAAGGTTCTGTGTGTATGCGTTTCTTTGTTCTGAGCCACCTGCCCTCTAAACCTGTGTCATTCCACTTGCAAATCAATTTTACAACATTATAGCTCTCTTGTAACTTAAAACACACACAAAGAAAATGAAACATTAAAGTAATGTTCTTAACCAACACAAAAACTGGGGGTCTGAGAGACTGACATTTGTTTATTTACTAAGTCAGATTTTGATTGCTATGTATGAATCTCTAACTTACTTCTCTTTAAATAAAATTAAAAGGGTAAGTGTATATGTTGAACTTATTTATACCAGAACTATAAAAAGTCAGTTTATAGTTTTTTTTTTCATTGTCTGCTTCTATAATCTGAACCTGGGATCGGAGTTGCCTGTTTTTCATTATAAGAAATTAAAAGCCATGGAAGACTTACTCTGCTGCTTTTAGATTGAGTCAGTTTATCAGAAATGTCACTGGAGTCATACTTGGTGGCACATGTTTTTAATCCCAGTACTCTAGAAGCAGGTGGATCTCTAAGTTCCTGGATAGCCTGGTATACCTAGAGAATTCCAGAACTTTCTAGACCCTGTCTTTAAAAAAAAAAAAAAGTCACTGAAACTGTCCATTTTAATGAAAATGAGTTATATGGTGCTGGGTATATTAGCTTTTTAAAGATTTAATGCCTATGTGATTAAAGAACAACTTATGTGATTAATATCTCATGAAAAAAATTTCCATTACATGTTCTTAACATCCTTTTGTACTTAGAGAAACAATTTAATCTTTTTCTCACAGGAAAACCAGTGGCTGTTACAAGTAACAGAGGCACAGGAAAGGCACCTTTACGTCCTGGTGCTAACCCACAGCTGGAGTGGCAGTATTACCAGAATAAAATCCTGAAAGGAAAAGCAGGTACACATGAGTTCTTTGAAGACATAGTACACCTATGAATGGCCTCGGATGTTGCTGGTGGTGTTGGTGCTTTAGAAGTGAAAGTAGAAATAGAATAATTAGCTTTAAAGTTGAAGGTTTTAAGGATGCTAGTGACAACTTGAATCAACAAAATCTGAATCTAAACAGATGACTGATGTATAGTTAATGATTTCTGGAATTGGATGAAGATGTTTTCCTGGAACTCAGTAAGCTAGGATTTTTAAAACAGTGATTAATCTGCTTTTTATAATTTAGATTGGGAATGGAAAGCATGATTGTTTCGTAGAAACGTTGATCTGGATAAGTTATTAGCCATTTGGCTTATGTCACAGTGAAGACACTGAAGTTTGTGTTCTTCAGTATTCTTAAGAATTTAAAGGTAGACACTGGTACCTAATCCCAGCCTTTGGGAAATGGCAGCAGGAGAATGGTGCTTTCAAGGGAAGGCTATGAGTAGGGAAACCCTGATTCAAGAAAGGACACAGCCTCTGTTGGAACCAGAATCTAAATGCCTCATTTAAGTGAACTTGTTTCTTAGAAGAAACATCTTAATAGCTGTTTTGGAAAACTAGTCTCTTTACAACCATACAATCTTCATGTGATTTTTTATTGTCCTACCTTAAAGTTATTAAGAACTATTTACTTAGAAAGTCTTTCACATTGGTTTCCTTGTAAAATATCTTGTAAAACCACAAATATTTTTTTTTTAAATAATTCTTTTAAAAAAACATTAACCAGACAAAAGGCATAGTGCAGTGGAGAGGTGCTAGCCCGGTTTTATCCCAGTCATTTCAGTTCCCTGCTTTGTCAGATAAAAACACTGGGATTATTTTAGAAAAGACCCTGATGAGGCAAAACAGTCTGGATATCGGATTTCGTTTCTGTAATTAGTCTTCATTGGTTGCAATCATCTGCTTACACAGTGTAATTGTTGACTCACATTTATACTTTATATGTGTATCCATTTCTCACATTTTCTAAGGCTTTTAATAGTTGATAAATGTTTTCAGAGACTTTGAGATTCTAGTGATTTGTGATAATAGATTGTGGACTAACTTCCTGACCTTGTTGAGGCTCTGCTTCATGGTCTATGGTTAGTTTAAGTGTGCCTTTGTACAAGGTTGCTTTTTCTATCTGTATTTTCTACATGGTATTATTAAGCAAGAAATGTGTAGCTGAAGGAAGTACACAGTGCTTGTTACATGTTGCATACTAAGTGAATACTTAGTGAGCAGTTGTCAAAATAAGAAAAAAAAAAACCAAACAAACAAGATGTGTATGTTTGGTGGCTTCTCTCAGTTCCTTTGTTGCTCAGTCTGGTGGGTAGAGTCTAAGTTGGCTGCTTGTTTGAGCAGTCTGCATCTAGGTTTTGACATGGGTAGGCACTTGTTCTATGAAAGTAGCAGGGAGCTGATCTTCTTTTGTCTTGCTTTCCATCACTGTCTGGCCATACATGGTTTTGCAGTAAAATATTTTCTTAGGGAGCTTAATTATCTTCATCTTTGTATCTATTGGATTTTTATAATATTTTAACAGCTTTTTATAATTCATATCTCCTTCACTTCTGTTGGATGGTGCAAGAGAAGCCAAATATTAGAGAAAATGTTTGTTTCACTTGCTATTGAAAATTGACACAACAAGATTTTCCTCTCCTTAGAAACAGTGACTATAATACCTTGATATTCTTATTTTAACTTAAGGACATTCATTTTTGTATCTTAAGCCCTTTGACCCATTTGTAGCTTGTAAAAATTTGCTATACATTAAAGGACTAGATTGTCTTTTATTAAGTTCACAGCCAAGCCTGTGCCCAGAACTTGTTTTCCTATTCTTTTGTTCCACTTTTCCTGATCTCTTTCTTTGGGCCATTATTAGAGATAGCACCAAACACTAAAAGTACTAATGATCTGTTTAGAAGTTAGAATCTTTGACTTCTACATACGAGCTTTATAAAAATCGTTCTAATATTTTGGCTTGTGTGGTTAGATGAGGTAGAATATTAGAACAAAAAACTCATCTTTAGTCTTTTTCAGAAGCTGATTTCTTGTTCCTTATATTCAGAACGTAGGTCAGTGTAAGCAGGGCATCTCATCCATCTGTCGCTTCCTTTGTGAGCTGACTCCCGAATCATCTCATTGATGATGTCATTCAGAGCCATTTGACCTCTGCACTTTGTGGTTGGGGCCTTTTACCCCTTCCTGGATTCCCAGGATGCAGATGTTTTCTATCCCTTCTACAGACTTCAGTTTTCATTCTAAAGAGCAACAGTTTAAAAAAATCGTATTAGTCATAGATTTATTCTCAGCGATTTCTTTTTCACAGACTTGTGTCCTGGCCTCTGATTTCTCCAACCGTCCCTCCACATTCTCCATGTGCCCGTCTAGTTTGTCAAGTTTTGATCAGCAGTTCTCTACTTTGCCCTCCAGTGAGGACAGTGTATCCCTGCATTTCCCCGAATCTCACATGAAGCAACTCACTCCGCTGGTGGAGAGACCCACGCATTCTGCTGCATTGTGGAACAGGTCAGCCAGCCCAGTGAAGAGGAACACCATGGTGCTGCCTCTCAGGCCAGGGCATTGGGGGCGCATGGACCACACTCTGATTTCACTTCAAATGAGATTCTTATTTAAATAGTCCTTCAAATGCCAAAGTCATGTAACTCCCTTTTAAAGCATAATTCATGGTTATAACTTTGGAAGATAGCAGATTGTGGCTGTGGTCTTTGTTTAGTAGTCTTTGTTTCCTCTGTTGATCTGTTACTGACAACCCTTAAATTCTTACAGATTAGATAGTGGACTGATATAGAAACACTGAAAAATCTGTTCACTTTCTGTCTTAAGTTCGTAAGAGTGTGGCATATATTTACATTATACCAGGAGTCATAGTGCACATTGTGTACTCTTGTTTTTATTTTTAGATGCAAGTAGCAGTTAACTCCCACCAAGATAGCAGTTCTGAGCTTGGCTTGTGTTTGTGGTGTTTGTGTGTGTGTGGTAGGATCTGGAAATATTTGTGCGGGTTGTACATTAGGTAAAGATGTTGATGATCATTGGTCAGAGAAGGAAGAGTTACTGCACCAGTGAAGCCAGATATTGTGTTGTGTTTTTCTGGTGGTTGTTTTTCATGGAGCATTGAGACTCTAAAATAAGTGAAAAAGAGGTATGAGTAGTGTTAGCTATGTGCTATTGCAGTGTACTCAGAATAGTTTTGTTTGGAATTAGCTAAAGTGATATGTTTAGGTCTTGCTTTACTAATGATGTTTATAGGGTAGAAACATGTTTGCGATCATGTTTTAAGAATATAGTATGTTTTTAATAAAAAGTTGTATAAAAGCACACTTTATCTTTAACCCAATAGTATTATCCTGAGACTATGACCAAAACTTTAATATACTTCTCAATGATTAGTGAATCTCTGTGTCATGTAGCCAGTAGGCTCTCTAGGCCGGGCACTTTTATATGCTTTGATGAGATTGCAGATTTGGTTTGGATATTAGAAATGTTGGTGAGATATTGTTCTGTTGAGACTAGAATTATGTTCTGTGAAGCAGTTACTACTGATTGTAATTGAGCTCAAGTTTTTAAAATGAAGATACAGTTGCTAAAACTAGCTATTAGTCTGTTCTTACCTGATGTGTATAGAAGAAAAATCTTGAAGATGAAGCATCTTTATAGTATAAGAAGATATATTTACATAATACACGTATGTACATACTATATACATATATATGTGTATATGTAGTGTATAGATGAGATCATCTGGTTACACTGGGTTAATTTCTGAATATAAGGAACAAGAAACCAAAGTTTCTAAAAAGTATTACTAAGTTATTGTTTTATCAGATGGCTGGCAGAAAATTGGTTTTCCTTTAACATACTAGTTTTAAAGTTCTATAGAAACTTCTTTTAGGAAATAACAAAAAGATCATTCTAAGAAACTTGTATTTTCTTTTAACTTTTTCCCATTACAGTGAGCTGCATAGTTCTCCTAAGGCAAGGGGAGGGAGTTTATCTTCCTGATCACTTCACCCTTGTCTACCCCCAAGCGACTGTGTTACAGGAGAACAGGCTGATTTACTACCTTCATTAAAACAGGAGAGTTTGCATTGATTGTGATGTGTTTTTATCTAACTGTTGCTGGAGAATATAATGAAACAAGACGATTTTATTAGTTTTGTTATACTAAATATAGAATTAATTCCAATTCTAATAGGTATTTGGAATTTAAACATTTGTATAAGAAAATATAGAAAACAAATTTCTTTAATGAAAGTTAAGGAAAACAAATTTTTAATGTAATAATTAAAATTTTATCTTAAAGCAGATATACCAGATTCATCAATATGGGAGAATCAAGATTCTACATCAACAAATGGAATTGATTCTATTCTGTCAAAAGCTGAAATTGCTTCTTGTAGTTATGAAGCCAGGTATGTAGAAGATAAGTGAGTTCTAATTCTTAATGGATAGTTTTTATGTACTTTTAGAAAGATAAAGTCTTGCACTTCAAGCCTATGATTTCAACATTTATTAATACATATGAAAAGAAATATTTTTAGCCTGGGTCCTTCTTTTACACTACATGTTAATTTTAAATATTATAATAGTTTCTTATGATATATCCTCAAGCTAAACAACAACAAATAATTAGGCATTGTGTTTATTGCCTTTGAGGTATAAAATTGAAAGTTACTTTTTGTTTCTTTTGAAATATAGTAAATAGGGCCTTATTTATTCAGTCTTCTTACCAAAAAGAAAAACTTCTTTTTTTTAAGGTTCGTTTATTTATTTTATGTATATGAGTACACTGTCTCTCTCTTCAGACATGAGAAGAGGGCATTGGATCCCATTACAGATGGATGTGAGCCACACTGTGGTTGTTGGGAACTGAAGTCAGGACCTCTGGAAGAATAGGCAGTGCTTGCTTTTTTTTTTTTTTTGAAGTTAAAACATGGGCTGGAAAGATCCTTAACAGTGAAGAGCAGCTGTTAGTGTAGAAGATGAAAGTTCTGTTTCTTACACTCACATTGTGCCTCACAACTCTATCCTCCAGATCATGGCTGTCTTAATTCTTATGGCCTTCATGGACACAAGGCACATATGGTGCATAGACGTATTCAAGAAAACATATACACAGAAAAGTAAACTGAAACTTGATTGCCTTATAAATTGTAAGGAAAGTAATACCATTAGACCTATAGTCTCATATAATAAGAATGTATAAACTTGTTACCACTAAGTCTGTGCAGGCAGTTATCTTACAATAATTGGAAGCCATAATTATTATTTGCCTTATATACCAGAAAATGATGGAAAGGCCAGTGAAACGGATCAGCAGTTAGAGAGAGTACACAAGCATGAGAACCTAAATTCAATCCCATAACTGAACATTTAAAAATTATAACAGCTACAAAAGGAGTGATAATTACTCAGAAAACTTTTTTTCTTTTTCACTAATTAAATTCAGACGTTGCCTTATTCTGATCTGAACATAACTATTTGCGCTCAGCATAGTATTGTCAGAGTAGTTTGTTTAAAATACTGGTAATTTTATTAAAATTTTATTTTACTAAGATACGGTTCAGTATCCATAAATATAAAACATGTTAAGTTCTTAGGCATTTTATGATGTGTTAAATATATGTTCACTAAGTTTACTTCTATCATGAACAAAACTGTGTTTTACTGTTGCCAGTCAATGTGACCAAACTTTTGAAACTTAGTTTACTAAGGATAATTACGTAAAATGGAACTGTGTTAGGATTGTTGGTACTTGTTAGCATGGGGAATTCAGAACTTAGTGTATAGAGAGTTTTGAATGGTAACCTGGCTATGAGTAGACAGTTGTGAGCAGTGTGTGATGATATAAAGATGCTCAGTATATCCTTGCTAGTTGATAAAGTGAGAGCTCGAGACTTGCCACCCTCCTCTTTAGGGTCTTGGTCAGTACCAGCCGGCTCAGAGATTGGTGCTGGGTGGAAGTCCCAGGTTGTGTTGGGTGTGTGTGCTGTTAGTTTGGCAGTGCTGGACTTCTGGGCTCTGTACTGGGGTCATATATGTGTATTGACCACAGGTGGTAACCACCGAGCAGAAGGCCAAAATAATTAATTGGGCTAAGAGTAGATAAGCACCTGATAGTATGTGGTAAGTCACTTATGTGCTAGTTAAATAGCACGTGTTTAGTCAGATTTGACTAAAAAGATGAGAATGGATTTGAAAACCAAAACCAAGTGAACCCATACCAGTGGAGTTTTTTACTTGTATTGTAATTTTCTATTTTCTAGAATGCTTTTCCCAATGAAGGTATTCAAAACAATTTCTTGTCTCCCCCTTTTCTACACAAATCTCCTAATTTTATCAGAGAAATGTTTCTGAGGTTGGACAGCCTAGTCCTGTGCATTAATGAGCTTGATATAGAGTAATGGTGAAGCTATAAAGAATGCAGTGTGAGGAGATGGTGGCTGACCCTAGATGGGCCAATGTGTATGGAACAAGTGTCATGCGTGCTGGGAAGCTGCATGTGCTGAAGAAAGGGTGTATAAGAACAGGCATGGTGGTGCAGGGTGGTAATGCGAACACTTCTAACGTTTGGGAGGCAAGGGCAGGACTAGGAGGAGCTCAGTGTCACTTTGTGCTGCACAGCAAATTCAAGGCTGTACCTTAAAGAAGTACACTCCTCAGAAGTAAGAAAATAGACATTTTAAACCTCTCTGTTCACATGCTTTTATAAGAGCATTGCACAGTTATTTAATGATAAGGATTTGTGATGTGTAGTGTATTGAATAACCATCAGTACTGATTTGGTACTTTTTTCTTTTTATATTGCCTAATCTAACTCCAAAGAACTTTGTCTTAGCCAAGCCTATGGCAGTAAGAATATGTGCTGTACTTTAAAACAGGACATGAGTTATATTTTGTACCACATACTAAGAAGTAGAGCTTTAGTAAGTTACTCTGCATGGATTTTACTGAGGAGGGACACATGAATCACTCTGTTTTCTATTAGAGCCACCTCAGGCTTTGTTGTTTGTTCTGTGACAAGGTATCATTGTATAGCTCAACTAGGTTGGAACTTTTTCTGTATCTGCCTGCCTTCAAACTCAAAATCCTGTTTCTGCTACCATCTAAGTGCTGTAATCCCAGCATGCATCAAGCCTGGCAGACTTCTTACATGATTAGTCCTTATTGGTTTATATTCTGTGAAACAAATCTTAATTTCCTGAGCATCTTCCCAAGGAAAGTATGTGTTTATCTCAGTTATGGGGAAGCCTCCTGGGTTTGTTTCTTTAGTTCAGAACTTCTTTATAGTGTGCAGTGGCCTCACACTTTCCCTTATGGTTGGAGAGACGTAGCTCAGTTGGAAGAATGCTTGCCCACCATGCACAAGGCCCTGGGTTAGATCCCAAAACAGCAAAAACTGGGTGTTTTGGCAACACTTGTACTTCACTAGCACTTGAGATGGAAGCAGGTGGATCAGAAGTTCTATCCACAGCTACCCATGGAAACTTTCTCTATGGAGAGTTGCATGAGTACCTAAGTACAAGTAGCATTTTTCCTAAACAGTGTTTTTGAAAATTTTTGTATATATAGAAATTTTAAAAAGGAAAGGAAATAGAATGTATGTAGGATCAATGTGACATGTGCCTTTAAGACTGAGTTACTGACTTTAATTTGTATGTTGAACTTACATAGTTTAGGTATTTTTTTTTACCAAAAGTTTATCCTTTTTCAAAGCTATGCGTTATAAAAACATCATTTCTGATAATATTTCTGTGTACCTATCTAAACTATTGTACTTACACTTCCATGTATTGATAAGCATATTGGTTTAGTAAAGCCTGCTGACTGTAACTCAAATCAAGCTGGGTAGATTCAGGAACATGTTTGGGGTCTGTTTGTTTGTGGGACATACCCAGCACCTTACAGAATGCCTGATACTATAACTGCACATAGCTGCTTCAGCTACCTATCCTGTCAGTCACTACTTCTTTCCTGTCTTTTCATCTTATTAGATCATTTGTGCATTTGAGACTTGATGCTGAAATAATTTATTACTTTTATTTACATGAAAAATGCATGTAGTTTTGGGTTTGCTTCTGAATAACTTGAGAGGTTTCCTAATTCTTAGTAGTTCTCTGCTGAAGTGAATGTTAAGAGAGTTCCAGAAGCCTCTGCATACTAATAGAAGACTGGTTAATCACCTGATCTTAGCAAGAGGCCAAGAAACAATTGTAACTGTTTCTTAAGCATGCACACCACCCACTAAGTCCGTACTTGGTGACTATTACTGACTGATGTATGGAATAACCATGATCATCATGCGCAGTATTATGTAATCTGGTGAAACATTGCTTTATTTTGCTTGTGTTTTTACTGTGATATTCTTTTTCTTGATTCTTTACAGAATGATAAAATGGAATTTTACTAATTATGTATAATTCCATAATTGTAGTTTTATGCTGAATGCTCCAAATATCAAAGGTAATGTGGGGCATTGAGACACGCAATAGATTTAAAATTTACCGTTTTCAATTAGGTCCCTCAAAGTTGTGGAACCCTGGCTCCTGCCCAGAGTGATGTCCTACCATACAATGCTGTTGGCATCTCAACCACTGCGGAGCCATTGAGGAGCATTGGAATTGGTCAATTGGGAATTGGGTGGTAATAGGATGAGTACACTTTGTCTGTCTGTCACATAGCACTGTTCTGTGTAGTTCTTTTGTTATCTGCTTTGTCTTTGGGGGCTGAGCCTGGCTATACTGTGCCACATATTAAGAGAAGAAAACTGTTGGACAGCACATTCCTGCTCTGTGGTGGTTGTGATATCACCAGCATATGGCATGCTGGCATCTCTGCAAAGGGGCCAGAGGTCAAGTTTTAGAAGTGTTTAGCTATAGACAAAAGAGATGTCATTTACTCTAGTGAGACAGTTGTATTTTCTGTTGGGGGGACAACAGACTTGTAAGTTTTCCTAATGCCTATTGCTAACCCCTGATGAGAAGGGGAGTTAGGTGTAACTTGTGTATTAGTGGCATGGGGAGAGTCAACACACTTGCTACTTGGTTGTCAGCTGAAGACTCCTGATGTAATCTTCACTGTGTTTTCTTTCCTTTCTAGACAAGTTGGCATTAAGAACGGAATGTTTTTTGGGCATGCTAAACAGCTGTGTCCTAATCTGCAAGCAGTTCCATATGATTTTCATGCATACAGGGAAGTTGCCCAGGCAATGTATGAAACACTGGCAAGGTATTGTGTCCAACGTACTCAGGTCCGTTTCTTCTACTCTACTACTTTGACTTACTTTGATTACTCATTATGAGAGTCTCTAGGTTTTTGTCTCTCCTGTGATCCTTTTTCTCCTCCTGCTAGTTTGATAGCTGCCTTTCTTTTTTTAAAATGTAGCTTCAGTAATTGGGAGTTCAGTCTCAGGAAAAATTTGCATTGTACCAAAGTTCATGTGCTACTGCATATTGTGATGTGACACCTACCAGTCTATGTGGACCCATTTTTTTCCCATGAAGCAGATTGACAAAGAAGTGTAGTGTTTTGTTGTTACTGCTGCTACTGGTGCTTTTGTCTCACTTGGTTCTTCTCTTTTATTACATTTGCATTATAATTTAAGATTGGAATTCACAGAGTGAGGTGCAGTAGCATGTACTGTATCCTAGACTTTCAGGATGATGGAGGGAGACCCTGTATTGGAACTGAATCAAGTTAAAACTGATGAGCCAAGTAACACAGGCATTTAAAAATCTTTTTTCATTTTAAAATCTTTAAGCATGCCAAAAATTACTTTTTATAAAAGAGAGTCTCTAGTAATTGCTTTTAAAATGGTTAATTGGAGTTAGCTTGAGGAAAGGAGATAAATGATTTTTTTTCAATATAGGCTTTTTTAACACTAAGGCAGAATTAAAAAGAATTAAAATTATTTAGCAACTTATAGATGCTCTAAAACCAGAATCATGTGGTTTCTGAAAACTAGGACTAGAAGAGACCTCGAAACTCCTTGATTCTTTGCAAATTGAAAAGGTTTTAAGTGATGTGAGTTACTGACACACGGGCGTGCTCCAGTAAAAATTTGTAAAGTTACTCATCCAAGGCTTGTAGTTCTAAAGCTGTGTATGTTGACATTCCTGGATGTATGCTTACCTCTGTCTTCACTTCTGCTCCCCTTGCCCCTTTATTGAAAATAGATTCTTATCTCATATATTATATCCTGATGACACGTCTCCCCGACTCCAGAAGACCAGTTCCTCCACACCTCCCCTTCCATCCAGATCCACTCCTGCTCTGTCTCTCATAAGAACAGGAGATAACAAATGTAACAAAATAAAATATAGTAAGATAGATCCATCACACTGAAGTTGCATAAGACAAACCAACAGAAAGAAGAATCTAAAAACAGGCACAAGAATCAGAGACCAACTCATTCACACACTCAGGAGTTCCATAAAAACACTAAACTGAAAGCTGTAATATACACACAGAGGATCGTGCAGACCCATGGAGGCTGCCTTTTCTTCTTATACTTTATTCTGACTACTACTGACCAGGAAGTACTGGTAGCTTCTTGATTTTGCCAGTCTCACCAAGAGAAGGCAGTGTCCAGTCCCTGCCCTTGTGGAAGCTACCTTAATAGTTAAAGAAAAATATACATGGAAAGATTCAGTCATCTGTCACAGCTGTTCTTAATTCAAGTATAGCAGTTTTGTGTTGCTGCTTCACAAATATGTTAAATGCTATTCAGAAGCTGAAGGCATTGGTGACATCCAAAGGAGGGGTGGGAACAGGTTGTTGGAGATGCTGCTGTATTCTCAGTTCCACATCCTGGAGGAGATGACTAGCTTGTACCTATACCCTAAAAATTGAAGGAGAGCTAGGGCCTATTACACTTTCTTTCTGTGGAGACTAGTAATGACATGTTTCTGTTCTCAGAGAAAAGTCATTTTCTTTGTTTTAACAAAAAGAAAAAAAAAACCTTTATTTTTGACGTTTTTAGCCTAAGTGGCATTTATTTATTGAATGAGTAGATTTTGGTGGCTTAGTTTGTAACCTACCAAAAGGTGTGTACTAACAAGTGGACTGAGATAGGCCTTGGTTGTGAGGGCTCTTTTGGTGTCTGTCATTTCTGGTCTGGTCTGAGTCTGTTGCTTGGTCTTGAGTTTATGCCTCTTTTCCGGCTTGTCAAAACAAGTAGGGAGAATATATAAGGTTAGAGGAAGAAACAGCATTTTCACTTGAAGATATGGGTGTGTTTCTCCTAGCCAGCATTTAGGCTGACTGGCCCCTTTGTCTTATAGAATCACAGGGATTTCATAGATATTAGATAGTTAATAGTGCTATTTTGCTTTTAGATGAACAGCTGTCGTTGAATTGATGTGTGCAAACTTCTGTTCATGAAGTTTTTTGATAAGTCATGTTTGAAATGTTGATAACTGTGATCCATTGGCTGCTTTGTAGCTTTTCCTGTGTACAAGGGTATTTGGGGTCCAGTCATTTCTGCTGGAGTAGTTTTGGTAAAGGATTAGAACACTAACTTTGTATCAGAGTCAGATAACTAAATAGTGGCACTTTGGAGGGGTTAAGATTAGAAGTTTGTGTTGTTGTGATGGCGTGCTGGTGGTCGTGTGCTGGTGCTTCGGTGGTGTTGTGGTGGTTGTGTGCTGGTGCTGCGGTGGTGGTGTGGTGGTGTGCTGGTGCTGTGGTGGTGTTGTGGTGGTGTGCTGGTGCTGTGGTGTCTAACATCTCCAGAGCAGCCCATAGGTATGACTCACTCACTGTCTTTGCTTTGTTTTGATAGCTACACACACAGCATTGAGGCTGTAAGTTGTGATGAAGCGCTGATTGACGTCACTGACATCCTTGCAGAGACTAAACTTTCTCCTGAGGAGTTTGCAACTGCCCTCCGTATGGAAATCAAAGACAAGACTAAATGCGCTGCCTCTGTTGGAATCGGTTAGTACATGGCCTGTCGTGGATCTTGTCCACCGTTCGGAATCCTTGACTATCCCCTGATGTAAAGGAAGTTGATAGCTCACTACACATTCCAGAAGTGTCCTTTTCCTTACTTGATCAGTGCTTACAGCTACACAGTAAAATAAAAATGTGCAAATGCAAGTAAGTGGTTGGTGATAGAATAATTTTGTACCAAGGGACAGAAAAGTTCTTTCTTGTTCAAAAAGAAAAAAAAAAGAGAGGTAAATTAAATTTGAATTTTTGTTTTCCTCAGATTTGAACAGAACTCCTTTAAAAGCAAATTAACAGCATAGAACTTAAAGTTAAGCTTAAAGTCTCCTTTTCTGCCCTTTGCTTTCCTGGATCACAGTGTTCTCTGCAATTCTAAGCTCTTGTTTCTCTAACCTCCATTCTGAGTTTGGTTTATTCAGCTGTTGCCACCACCTGTCCTCCTTATGTGAACTTTAAACTCTGGCCTCTGAAAAGCACAGGCTGTCTGTGCTGCCACTTCCTACCTCTCTCAGCCTACTCAGGGCCATTTACCAAGCAGAGAGCTCCACACTTTGCCCTGCAGACTTGAGGGAGAGTAGTACAGCTTTCTAAGCATGCTGCTCTTACTTCTAGCCTTATTACTGCATTCTCATTCATAAGCTCTTTTCCCTCAGATTCTTGTCTTTTGAAACAGTACAGGTAACTCAGTGGCATCATAGATAGGTTAATATACATTGATGAGTGAACTAGAACCCAGGTGTTGTGACACACTGGCTATGTCAGCACTCAGGATTGAGGAACACAGACCAGCCTGGATTTGTGGTGAGATTGTCTGAAAATGGGGTTGGGGAGAAAGGATCAGCGACTTGGGTTTCTGTAGGTGGGGGACAAACATGCTGCTGAAGCACTAGAGAGCCACTAGAATGGTCATGAAGCTTGAGAAAGAAAGCTGGAGGGAGCTGGGCCAAAGTGAGGGGTCAGTGAGAAAGCCATAGGCCTCACTTGCAGAAGGCATTGCACTGAAGGGGTCTTACCTGCCTGGTTCCTGGCCCTGAAGTAGTTTAAGACAGAAGACAGATTAACTTGGTGCATTTTTTTTTTTTTGATTGCTGTGATAAACTAAGGCAACTTATAGAAAAGTTTGTGTTGAGCTTTCAGTTCTAGATGAGTAGGGATCCACAATGGCCCAGTATGGCACCACACAGCAGAAATGGCAACTGGAAGCTGAGAGATGATGCCTCACATCTCAGACCACAAAACAGGCAACAGAGAGAGTGAACTGGACTTGGTACCTAGCTTTTGAAACTTCACAGTCTGGACCCAGTGATAGACTTCCTGCACCTAGGCTACACTACCTATGCCATCTCAAACAGTGCTACTAACTGGGGACCAAGTATTCATATGCTTGAGACTATAGTGGGCATCTTATTTAAACCACCACACGTGGTGAATGAGATTTGGATGAGGATCTGGTTACAGTCTGAGATGTGCATATGAGAGATTGCCTTCCCTGTGTCTTTAAAATTGGCCCATCTCACCAAGCTGTATTCTTTTTTAAATTAGAAATATTCTATTTACTGTTTTGGCAGTTTCATCATGTATACAAGGTATTTTGCTCATATCCACTACCAGGTTCCCTCCCATGTTTATGTCCTGTTTTTTGTTTTTCTATTGATCCACTGATTCTGTGTATATACACTGCCATGCTCATGGCATCTATATCATGACCATCTATATGAGTGGACACAGCATACCCAACTAGTGGAATAAATTACTTCCCCTGACTGCCAATCATCTCTTAACTAGGGTGAGACCATCCATTCTGGAATTATGGCTAGCAAGTCTTAGGGGAGTGACCACAGCTCCTGTGAGCTCTTGAGTACATTGTGCCCCGTCATATGCAGGAGACAGCGGGTCTCAGCGCTCCTCGCCACTGTCCAGCTCTTACATTCTCCCACCCCATTTCTAAGATGTTCCGGAGCCCTGGGTGGGTGGCGGGGATGGTGCTCCAGATGTCAGGCTGAGTCTCTTACTCTTACGTCTTTGACACTTAAGATTCTCTTTGAACATCTGCCCACGAGAAAGATATTTGACCAAGGTTGAGAGTAGCACAGATAATTCAAGGGCACAATATAAATATTTGTGGCAGGTAATTTGACAGCATGTCCGTTTAGCAAAACAACACTAGTAGACATACAGTCTCATACTACACAATTAGTACAGTACAGAACTCCGCCTGGCAGAGAGAGCATGTGTCACATGAAATCAGAGAGCATTTTTGACCCCTATAACAGTCATTCCCAGTATGGCACCAACTGAGTTCATCTTTCTGCAAGGTTTTTATGATGTAAAACACCATAGCATACTGAAAATTAGGAACATGACAAATACGCTGGCACTGTTTACACAGTTACTGTCTATCCTGCCTTTTCACCCCTACTGTTGGCCTGCAGGTCCCTGTTTGCCACCTTTTCCTACCAACCTTTGTATTTCAATGTCAGACACAGTTTTAATTCTTTCTTTTTAATCATACTTATTTCAGTTTACAAGTGGTGGTATAAACACATTTTCAGTTTAAGAATGGAATGAAAACTAAAATTCCACTTGACAATCTCCCCTCCCCTGCTTTTTCTCTGCAGCTCCCTAAACTTTTATCATTTTTTTGATACGACTTTTCTAAACTTCAGCTCCTTATAAGAATTTATACTTATTGTATCTGTCGTGTATTGGTTTGTGAGTCTCCTGTACATTGTTAGTACAGGACTTTTCTGATGTCTTGATGTGTGCTTCTTCCTTTCATAGAAAAGTTTATCTTTCCTATGGCACTCTCCTTCGCACGCAGGCCCCACCGTCTCCGTTTACTGCTGACCTTCCCTGCACTCTGAAGCCCTTAAAACCCTCTCTCGTCACATGTTCTGATCTGGGGTGTTGTTTCCAAAGCCTGTTAGCTTGTTGTCCCTACATAACCTGGGTCCTGGGGTTGGCAAATTTGATCGGTTTTTATATTTGCTTTAGTTTTATCTACTACTCTTTGAGTGAAAGGGAGAGCATTTGAGACAGGATCTCTTACTGTAGCCTAGGCTAGTTTCTGATTCATAGCCAATGGGCAGTTGAAGCCTCCTGAGTGTTAAGATTATTTACATGAGCTACCGTACCCAGGTTAACCCCTCCCCCTGTTTTCTCTGTCCTATATCCATCACAAAGAGACATTGAAATAGTATGTGTTTTAAAATACAGAAAAACCCACCCAGCATCCATACTGGCTATATTCTGAAAAATTAAATACAGTTACCAGGGGTGTGTGTGTGTGTGTGTGTGTGTGTGTGTGTACACCTTGTGTGAATTTATCAAAACTGAATTAGTTTTATCATTTTAAGGTACTTGAATGATTCAGTCTACATGTTTCTTATATGAAATTTTAAGAAATAATTATGTATATTTCTGAGCATTTCTTTTCTTTTCAATGTCACAGGTTCTAATATTCTTCTTGCTAGAATGGCAACTAGAAAAGCAAAACCAGATGGTCAGTACCACCTGCAGGCAGACGAAGTAGATGACTTCATCAGAGGGCAGCTTGTCACTAACCTACCAGGTAAATCCAAGACTTCCCGGGCCGTCTGCTTATGATAGATGATCAGTGCTCTCCGTGCCTTTTTTTTTTTTCTTCTGTCTTTGGGACGTCAGTGTGGGCACTCAGCCGGCATGGGATGCCTTGGGTTTGAGTCCTAGTACTGATTTTAAAGGTTAGTTTTTTTGTCTGTATAGTTTATAAGTGTATTTATGAATGTGTGTCTGTGTGGGATGTGTACATGTGAGTGCAGGTGCCCATGGAGGCTAGAGGGCTTGAATCTCCCTGGAGCTGCACTTACAGGTAATTGTGAGCTACCTAAGGCCAGTGCCCAGAGCTGAACTCAGGTCTTCTGGAAGAGCAGCAAGTACTCTTAAGTACTGTGTTCTCTAATCCCACCTAGCACTGGTTTTAAGAAGAAATCCCAGAAGAGAAAAGGACAGTTGGACATGGCAGCATAGATTTTTAATCTCAGCACCTGGGAATTAGGGACAGGAAGATTAGGAGTTCCCAGTGCAGCCTGGACTGCTTGAGACCCTATCTCCACAAAACAGGGAGGGAAAGTGGGAGTGAGGAACAACATTAACAATAGAAAGTCAGCCGGCAAGGTTAGTGACTGATTTCAGAGTTTACAGTCCAACAGTTTGAAAAGTAGAAAGTGAATGGGCCTTATTAGGAAAAGTTCTTCTAGTTTCTTTAATTAATTAGTTAAATAATTTCAGGACCTTGATGAGAAAACCTTCTATTTTCTGTTTTTGAAGGTTTGGGGCTTTTGTTTTTGCCAAAAGTAGTGATTTGTTTTATGTGGTTATATTCCAACCTGTGAGCTTTGCAAAAACTTTTATATATGTACCTGCGTACATGCATACAACCTTTATATACACCCATATAATATACGCACGCACACACAAACACACACAGAGTATTTGCAGGGAGATGTTAGAGATGTGTGTATACAAGTAGAAATTTTAGGCTTATATTTTTAAATCTAATGAAAGTGTATATGAACTACCTTAGAAATTTGTTACAAGCCAAATTATAAACAACCCAAATGTCATTGTGTAGTGGGCTAGGTTTACTTTTAGAAGTTTACTGTAGCCCCTGTTTAGAATGTGTGGTCTATTTCTGATGTTCAGTTTAAGATTAAATTTCAGTAGTAATTAACTTGGAAGATCAAATAGCAAATTATCTTACTAGCACAATGTAAAGTTATGATAACACAAGTTTTAAGTTAGAGCAAATATTTTAAAAGATGCGTGTAAATTTCATGTTTATTATACCAGCTAAATCAGCTTGCTCAAGGGCTGCCATGATAGCATATACTACGTGTCTTAATAGAAATTGATGTTTTTTGTGAAGGCTAGAAAGTTGTGGGTATGTGGGTGTGGCTGACCCAGAACTCCCTATGCAGCTAAAAATGACCTTTAATTCTGGATTCTTCTACGTCTGCCTCCCATGTGCTGGGCTCCAGGTTTGCAGCATAGTGCCTGCTTCATGAAGACATCAGTAGGTTTGCTGCTTCTAAGGCTGTGGGCTCTCTGTCTCCATGCCCCCCCCCCCTCACTGGCCCGCTGTTGTGCCTCATGGTCTTTCTTTAATGTTAACCTGTGTGGTCTCAATTTCTTCTTAAAACAGCATCAGTCATACTGGCCCTGTGCCCTCATTTTACTTTAATTGCTTGAGTCCAAATACAGTCTCAGTGAAAACTTTAAAATGAAGAGTTATGGCTTCAGCATGTTTTGGGGAAAACACAACTTAATAATGCCATCTTTCAACTGAATTGAATTTTATAATGCTTTTGAAAATAGAAGTAATTTGTAGCTCTTCAGTTAGTACTTCTCTCGTCGTCTTTATTTCTGAATGGTAAGACTTATTTTTATTCTTGAGATGGGCTCAGAGATGGCATTGAGCTAAAACCATGTAGCTCAGGTTCAGTCAGCCTTTGAGGACTGTGATCCCATGTGTGCACTGTCACAATGGGTGAGGAAGGCTTTCTTTTCTGTGTTGGCATTCACATGATGCAGATGTCCACAGAGGCCTGGGTTGTATGATCCCTTTGAGCTGGAGTTACAGGTTATGCACAGCTCTGGTCCTCTGCAAGAACAGTGTGCAGTCAGAACCATCTTCGGCCCAAATACTATATTCTCTAACAGGCGTCTATGAGGTTATATATCCTGGCCTGTGCTCAGATGCATAAAACATTATATTTCTTCTTTGATATCCGCCCCCACCCCCAAATAGGGTCACCAAGGTTGGCTTCTTGTCCAGGTCCTTGTCACTCAGATGGATCCTGTTAAATTTTAATTGACTTGGATATTTTTGGTATGTTCTTACTCGGACTTTTGCATCTCGTTCCTGTTCTGGAGATGGCATATTTAATGATCTTTTCCCGGAGTGTGTTCAAGAGGACATAAACATCTTTGGGAGGAGGAGAGAGAATATGTAGGTGCATGTGCATCGGAAGCCAGAGGAAGATGTCCGATATCTTACTCTGTAGCTCTCTGGTGAATTCTGCAGACCTAACTGTCCAGTTTGTCTCTCACCCACCCTTTCATAGCACTGGGGTTATAGGCATACATGTCCATGCCTAGCATTTTATCTGTAAATTTTATGTGTATGGTGTCTTGTCTGCATGTTGTATGCATGTCGCCTGCACACACCTATGGTGCTATGGAGATCAGATGAAGAGGACATTGACTCCCTTGAATGGGAGACAAGGACTTGTAAGCTGTCTTGTGGGTGCTGGGAGCCAAACCCCCATCCTCTTGTAAGACTGAGTACCCTTACTTGCTGAGCCTTTGCTTCAGCCCTGTGCCTGGCTTTTAAAACAGGAATACACACACACCCACACACACACACCACACACACACTGTGTTTGAGGGCCCTATGCATTAGAAATTCTGAACATTATAATAAAGAATCCTATTTAATTTGCTGAACTTGAGTTAATTCCCAGAGATGTTTGTTGGTGAGTACAGCACCTATTTCTATCTTGTGGCTCATGCTTCAGAAAAACTTAACTCCAGTTGATAATTACAATAAATGTATTGGTATCACCCCAGCCTCTCTTTAGCCCTGTGCACTCACTAAGTATGCACTTAGGATCTGATGTGCCGTGTAAACTGGTAAGCAGTTGTAGAGTGGATGTGAGCAGTGAAAACACAAGACTGATGATTAGGGATTCTACCTGATGATGGTTGTGTGTTATGTGGACAAATGTATACTTAATTCAGTGTAGTTACCCAGTGAAAGAAAAGATTATCTCTAACAGTTTCAATACTAAGGACTCTTGGGTCTTTGCAAAGCTATTAATATTAACCCTGTGGGTGTCTTCCATTATGAACCCTGTGCACAGGTCAGAGCTACGGTTTGTGACTTCCAGTTCTACACAGTCATATAGCTGTTCAGAGGCTCTTCAATCTCAGCATTTACAGTTATCAGGCTCCTCATTTGTCTTGGCCATATTTCCTGTATTCACAAGCCTTGAGCAAGTTCCTTCTGAATTGTACAAACATTTCCATCACCATTGACACTCGTTTTCCTTATCAAGTGGACTGCCAGGGTCTGGCTGTGTGGGTAGTGATCACTGTCCATTCTTAATATGGTTCCAGAGCATGCCCTGGCTGATTGACCAGCAGCTTCCGTAGCACACCCCTCCCCCTTTAAAAAAAAAAAAACTATTAAAAAAAACTATTCTTCCTTGGTTAGCTGTGGTAGGTAGGCCTTGAGCTGTGGTTTCTTTTTTCATGCAGATGACTTTCCCTTATGAACTCTGGTGCATTGCACTGAGTTAGTAACAGTTCTGGTTCTGGTTTGGAGAGTCATCCTTCCCTCCCACCGTCACTGCATTCCAGCAGATTAGCCATCCATAGTGACTCCATTGCATTGGGTGGATTATGCATTCACGTTCCTCTCTCAAGTCTTGCCTTTCCCACACCATTGTATTCACACACGCATAGTCTGGGATCAATGATGCCTCTGCTCACCCTTTGTTCTGACTTGTGCTGTAATTAGCACAGTGGGAGCCAGCATCCTTCCCACCAGGATACGTATCTCCAGTTCTCAGCCTGTGGGCCACAACGCCTCTGACAAATCGCTGTCTCCAAAAGCTGCATCATAAATCCTAACTAACAAAATTACAGTTGTGAAGTAGCAATGGGAATAATTTTATGGTTGAGGTCACCACAGCATGAGGACCTGTATTAAAGGGTCACGGTATTAGAAAGGTTGAGAACCACTGTGGCATACTTCCAAGGCAAAGATGATCTTAAAGACTATCAAGTCCTCACCTGTGCCCTATTTTCCCGTATCTAGGAGTTGTCTCAGCAGAAAATTGGACTAGGGTCCTTCCTGTCACAGGAGACCACGCAGGGTGGAAGCAAAAGTTACATGACCACATTGAGGAAAAGATATTGGCAGACTTTGCTCTTGTTTGATAACATAGAAACAGCATACAAACACATAATTTTCACGCTTGTAACTTCTATGATATAAAGTTATTTAAATAAGACTTAGAGTTTACCTGAGTTACTGTAAACTGGTTTTTCAAATGTTTGTCTCTTTTTAATATCTATTTATTTTTAGATGTGTGGGGGAGGGGAGCTTACCAATGTTCTGGGTAGCACTGAAACTTTGTGTACATTGTATGGGAAGCCATAGAGGCTGCTTTGTTTGGCCCAGCTGTACGATGGATCTTCAAGATGCTCATTTAGCTTTTGATTTAAGAGAAACAAATCTCCCTCCCTTACACACCACCAGGCCCTACTTAGCAGCTTTGGTCCCGTGTCACATCCTTGTGAGATAAGGCCTATGTCATCAGTTCCTGCTCTGGATCAGAGTAAATATGCCGAGGCCATCATGGATGTCGGTAGACACCATTATCTCAGCACAGTTCCACTCCGAACTCTAGCATTTGTATCTGTCCTGCAGGTTCAGAGCATAATGAATTCTTAAACAATCTGTTAATTACTGATTTGTGGATAAGATCTTAATTATGGTATTAGTCACGAAATTATTTTTTGTATAAAATTTAATGTTTTGTGCACATATAAATAAATGACCAAAATTTGAGTAATTTGTCAGTAACTCTGTCTGTATTCCTTTTCTTAGGAGTTGGACGTTCAATGGAATCTAAGCTAGCATCTTTGGGAATTAAGACTTGTGGTGATTTGCAATGTTTAACCATGGCAAAACTCCAGAAAGAATTTGGCCCCAAGACAGGGCAGATGCTATATAGGTTCTGCCGAGGTTTGGATGATAGACCTGTTAGAACAGAGAAGGAACGAAAATCTGTTTCAGCCGAGATCAACTATGGAATAAGATTCACCCAGGTAATGTGTCTTTACGTGGTCCTGTTTCTAACCTTAAGCTCTTGATGATTGAAGTAAACAGAGACTATTGGTTTCTCAGAGCCTTGGTGAGTTTTTAAGGTAGATCCTTAATTAGAAAATCCAGGTCTTAAGGAAAGATATAAAATATTCTGCTTTTGTGGTCAAAAGTGATTTGAATTACAATTATTCTCATTACCAATGAAGAGGAAGAGGCCAGACAAGTTTCAAAATTGTTTTTTTTTTTTTTTTTTATTTTTTTTTTATTATAATTACCATTTTATTCATGAGACAATAGGTTCAGGGAGGTAGAACGTTTTGCCTGACGTCATCATGTGGAATGTGGTGGTTCCAAGATTCCTCCCATCCATAAGTCCGAGCTTTTTAGGTCCAATGCTATGGGGGCCCAAGGATTGGTAACAGAGCCTTCTTTTAAAAGCTTTACCCAACCCTGGCAAAGTGATAGGGTATAGTGTAGCTTCAGTGTTACGAGTGCACCTGCCTAGCGTGTGCGACTCGACTCCCAACGTTCAATAATCAGTATCGCCAAACCAAACTAAACCTTGCCAAGTTGCTATGTTGGTGGGTTGCTTGCTTGGTCTGGGTGAAGCACTAGGTTTCACTACGAACACTGTAAAAAGTGAAAATAAAACACAAACTAAAAAACCCTTGTCAATCTGAAACGGCTGCGGTCGCGGTGGGCGGCGGCGCGCGGCCAGAGTAGAGTGCGCGCCAGGTGGCACACTGGGCTTGCAGATGGATCCTGCAAAAACCTGCAAGCGTGCAGGTGGGCGAGTGTCAAGGCAATTTGTCTCCCTTGCGACTCCGCCCCTTTTCCCGCCTCCAAGGGGCGGGGCAGTAAAGCGCGGGAAAGCTCAACTGGAACAGTAATGCCAGCTCGTGTCGGGGGCGGGGAAAAAAGAGCTCTCTTAAATGGGAAATAGACCTGGGCTCCCACCTTCTCTCGCGTAAGAAGCCTATCAGCATACTACCTTAAGCTCTCCTTGGTTGTGGCCCAGGCCACGCCAGCACTTCCCAACGTCACCTCCCCCACTTCCGGTCGCAGCGTGTCCCAGGTCTCAGGTCTCGATGGTTCCGGTTTCTTTTACACTCTGACTCCCAAAGTCTGTCCGGCACTCCCGCAGAGGGAGGGACTATGCCTCAAAATTGTTTTAAACTGTAGTTAAAAATCAGTCTCCTCCTTCATTGTTAATGCCTTATTGGTTTTCAGCCTTCTTAATGCTGTGACCCTTTAATACAGTTCCTCGTGCTGTGGTGACCTCAACCACAAAATTATTTTCAATGCTACTTCATAACTGTAATTTTGCTATTGTTAAGAATAGTAATATTAATGTCTATGGGTTTTTGATGGTCTTAGGTGACCCTGTGAAAGGGTCATGTGATTCCCAAAGGGGTCGTGACTAACAGGTTGAGAAACACTGCTTCTGTAGTGGTAATGCAATGGACTAGTGTTTGTTGTCCTTAAGAATGCATGTTTTGATTTGGGTACCTCTCTGGAATTTAATTCTATAAACTCTGCACATCCTGCGAATTTGAAATCTGACGAGTGCTTGCTCTTTGGAACTGTCATGTAGGAATCTAATAGAGTGTTAGCATTCACATTTTATCAGGGACTCTTAAGATTTGCAACAGGTCAGTGACTGCATAAAAAAGAAAGAAAGGAAAATGCCTTATAGAGTACTTTGTACACTGAGAACATGCCCACTTATATTAACACACAGGTCAAGGTGTGTGCACAATGGTTCTTTTAAATAAATGCTTATGATAGGGAAATAGGATGTGTACAATATTCAGAGCTAAGACACTTGAGAAGAACTGTTAAGGAAAATTATCACAGTGCTTCTCATCTTTGTTTTTGTGTAGCCCAAAGAAGCAGAAGCTTTCCTTCTGAGTCTTTCAGAAGAAATTCAAAGACGACTTGAAGCTGCTGGCATGAAGGGCAAACGCCTGACTCTGAAAATCATGGTACGGAAGCCAGGGGCCCCTGTAGAAACTGCAAAATTTGGAGGCCATGGAATTTGTGATAACATCACCAGGTAAACTTTCTCTTGAAAAAAAGAATGTTGGTAGTTATATTCTGTGCAGTTTATTATAAGTCATACAAAATAAAATCAGTAATAGTCATTTCAGTTAAAACTTAGCCATCCTGGTGGTGGTAAATACCCTGTAGAGGCAGGCCACAGCCCATGGTCACCTGACTTAAGTTTAATACCTATTGCAAAATACTGAAGGTGGATGAATATTTTTTAAAGGAAAGATTTACTTAGTTCACAATTCCTGGTGATACAAGAAGCTGGTACCCTCATACTCTCAGCCAGCTGGTGCCATCACAGTGTTGGGAACATAGATAACAGACACAAGAGGAGACAAGAAGCTACACAGCTCTTACGGGCCAGGCTTGCTCCTTCCTTCTCTAACCAGTTGCTCATGACAGCAGTATCGGTTGCGTCCTAAGGCAGTGACCTAGTCAGTTCTCGTCTGAACAGACCACATCTAAGTCACAGCTAGGTGGCAGCCAGAGACTTCCTTGGGGATCTCCAGGCTGTTGACTTGAGATTGTAGAAAGGAAAAGGGCTACACAAGACAAGGGGGCTGGTGTGGTTTGTGAAAGACCACCTGAGATGTTCCAGACTTTCCTGAGTAAATCATTAGAGCAATCAGAATCATATCTGAAAGCTGTAGAAATCTTTTCTTTAAAACCATGATGTTTGATGGGCACATCACTTAATGTTTGCAACCAACATGAAACCACTTTTTAGAGTGCGTCTTCTATTCAACAGACTGCAGTCTGACAAGCCAGTGTTAAGGTATTTAACAATCAATCTGTGAGTAAAGAGTTATAATGTGTGTTTTTAATAAAGATTAGCTCATGTCAAACATGTTGTTTGTTCTTCTAAAATCTCTAATATAGAAACTTAGCGTGTCATTGAAAACATTATGTACTGTGGAAACAGGCAAAATAAAACAACATACTTTATTTTATGTGGAAATTAAATTCAACAATAATGGACATTTCTATATGAAACTGATTCTTAAGCATAGTTTTGTGAGGGCAGGTGGGAGGGAGGCAAGAACTAGATAGAACTGAACAAACTCCAGTTTAGAGTGTGTTTCTGGGAAGAACTGGCTTTCTACCATGCAGTCTACGTTCCAACATTGTATATGTTTTTACTAAAAATTTTCTTGCCTAAATTTGTCAACTTTTGGTTTGGGTCTTCATGGCGTGTTTAAAGTACCAGTGTTTTGTATAATGGTTTCTATGCTTGTGGGTGGTGTTCCTGACTTAGTATAAGGGCAATTATTAATAACTCCTTGCAGTGTTTGTATGATCTTTTAATGAATATATGTCGAATGTACATTTGTTTGCTTAAGAATGTAATTTTAATACTTACAGGACTGTAACTCTGGACCAGGCAACAGATAGTGCAAAAATAATTGGAAAAGCTACTCTAAACATGTTTCATACAATGAAACTAAATATATCGGATATGAGAGGGGTGAGTATCACTCTGGCTCCTCCTGTCTGTAGTGTGAAATCTGGGCTTCATCTGAGCTTGGGCCTGATGTAGTCCAGGCATATTATATACACGATTGTAGCTTCTTCTGTGCAGTTCAAGGAGAGGAAAAAAGGACTTCCCGTCAGGCCTTATCATCATCTTAGTTTTGACAGATTTGTTATTATGACGATTTTGTTTTCTGCATAGTATTATTCAAATCTTACATATCGTATTCCCAGCACTGGACAAGGACCCTTTTCACTGAGCTACTTCCCCGGCCCTGTCACCTTACTATTGTACGGACCATACCTTGATCATACTAAGTAAATACATGGACCACTCTGCTATACCCAGCCTGCCTGCTTTAGAGACAGATCCTATGTAAAGCCTCAGCTAGGGCTGGTGGTGACACACTTGAGTACAGGCACTTTGGTTGTCATGGGCCATCAACACACCCAGGCTGTCATTCGACCTCTGTGCTTGCACTGTACCAGCCTCTCTCCTTCAAATGTAATGAATCCTAGAAAGCCAACCAGGAAACCTATGGAATATACTTGTTTGGGTATTCTGATTTTAAAAGTCTTACCTACCACCATGTGTGGGTAGAATGCATTACTCTGTATCAAGATAAAGCTACTTAATCACTGAGACGTAAGTTGTTTGTGGGACAACTAATAAGTAAGTTGTTGGTTTGCATTGTTTCATTCACTCCTTTATTCTCGAAGCTGGATCTCGATGGTAGTACCAATAGATCAACTTGAGAATTTTGTTTAAATGAATTCTTATTTTTCACTTTTATTTTTCACTTCTGTTGTCTTAGAAACATTCTTTATTTTGACTCTAGGTTGGTATTCATGTGAATCAGTTGGTTCCTGCTAGTTCAAGTCATGCATCAGCTCAGTCAGGCCTCTTCCCTGGTCGGCCACATTCTGTCCGTGATCTCTTCCAACTACAGAAAGCTAAGAAACCCACAGAAGAGGAGCACAAGGAAGGTGGGTGGCCATCTGTGTGCGGCTGCTTTCTGCTCCACTAAGTCCTCAGGGAGTAAGAAGTTCCATTTTAAATCCACATGGGTCTATGCCTTTTCGTTTGTTTTAGAAGTAAAATTACATTCCAGATTATGAATCTAAAGCTCTTCGAAAGAAAAGAGCGAAGTGATGGGGAGGTGCTTTGGCCGTTTCCCTCTTCTGCTGAGCTAAAGAGGCTCTTTGATTTCTGTCCCTAACCATAGTACTTCTGGCTGCTGTGGATCTGGAAGTGTCCTCCACCTCTAGAGCTTGTGGTTTACTGTCACCCCTGTCTGCACATCTGGCAGCTAGTGTCAGTCCTGACGCTAACAGAGGCGAGTGTTCCAGGAAATGGAATGGCCTGCACTCTCCTGTCAGTGGACAGTCAAGGCTGAACCTCAGTATAGAGGTCCCATCACCATCACAGGTATGGTTTTTGGTCCTTAAGTCAGTTTTGTACTAAGAACAAAAATGGCGTTCTTCCTTTGTAGGTCAGTATTCAAAGTCATCTTCATGTGTCTTACTGTTCTTGCTTAAGCCCCTTCCACTTTTGTAGGTTCCCTTGTTTGCTAGTCTGGTTTGTGCTTTTGTCAGGTGTACCCCATCATCTTTTTTACATGGGGTTGGGGGCTAAAGGAAATGAAATGCTACCTCCAGAACTAGGGAAAGGGCCAGTTCTCATGCTTGAGGTAGATCCCCTAATGCTTCTATAAATACCTTTTATCTCAGTGCTTTATGTATAGGATGATAATATTTGGGTGGAAAGTATCCCATCTGAAAAGTTAATTTCTATGCTCCCTTTCCATGGGCTGGTTCTTACTGCAAGGTGTTCTGTATGTGGACTCCTTTGCGTATGCTACTGATTCCTACACTGCACTCATCGTCAGACCGACTCGGTCACCTCAGACTTCAGCGGCCATCAAGATAACTGCAGCAGGGCTAGCTTTTTGAAGGCTGCTGGCCTGAACTTTTGCTGCCTCAAACCATCATTTCTGAGCATCAAGTTCACATTTGGTATTTTACAGATTGACCAGTCTGTCTTAGAAGCGCTCCCACCTGATCTCCGAGAACAAATAGAACAAGTTTATGCTGCTCAGCAAGGAGAGCCACGAGGCACCAAGAAGAAAGAGCCAGTAAATGGCTGCAGTTCAGGGGTATTGCCACATCCTGTTGGCACAGTTTTATTACAAATACCAGAGACTCAAGAACCTAATAATAGTGACACCAGGATCAGCGTCATTGCCCTTCCAGCATTCTCACAAGTATGTTAACGTCAGGGACCTTCCTTCAGTCATGCTTTTCTCACTTGTCCTCTCCTCTGTACCCATATGCAGACTATGGTTGGCCACTTGACTTTGTTTATAAAGTAGACAACTCAGCACCAGATGGAAGAGATGTGGGGTACAGGGCATGGTGTGTCAGTCCCTAAAGCGTCTGGAAGAAGCAGAACATTCTTTGCTGACTTTATTGGCCTACACAGATCATGAGATCTCCTTAATAGGGGAAAGACACTCATAAGTGTACACATGTTTTTGGCTTCCCATTTTGTAAACAAGGTTCTCGTTCTGTTAGCATAGAAATTGTTCATTTCCACAGACTCTTGGAAGGTTTTGTCCTAGCGTGAAGGACCTGTTAGAAGTGATTTCAAAGCAGTCCAGCTATCCTCCAGAATTAACTTAGGTGTGACTTTTCTTCTATTAGGTGGACCCTGATGTCTTTGCTGCCCTTCCTGCTGAGCTTCAAAAGGAGCTGAAAGCAGCATATGATCAAAGACAAAGGCAGGGAGAGGATGCTACTCATCAGCAGCCAGCTAGTGCATCTGGTAAGACAAGAGAACAGTCATGTCCCAGAAAGGGACTAGAGTGATGACATCATTGTGTTAGTTCTAACTCTTCATCCTAGAGACTATCTGAAGTGATCAAGGCAGACCAGTAACTAGTGTTGTATTTTGGATACAACTCAAGCTACTTGTCTTTTGATACTGCTACTTGAAAGAATGTGAGTTCAAAACATGAAAACTTCTGGACATGAGTCTCTGAACACATATTTATTAAGCCTGCATAATTGCTAATTGTCTTTTAATCCTAAAGATCATTCCATCACATGTAAGCATAATGAGTGAGCTCAGAATACTAAATGGTACTGCTGAGCTGGGAGGACTTTATGCCTTAAGCCACTGTGTCCCTAGCCTCCTTCCTGATCTTGATGTTAATAGTAAGGGTGTGTTGGAAGGACAGCATCCATGGCATTACCTGGATTTCATTTGAGAATCTCATGCCATCTCTTTAGTGCCAAAGAATCCTTTACTTCAGCTAAAGCCACCAGCAATGAAAGACAAGAGAAACAAGAAGAAGAACCCTATTGGTTCTCCCAGAAAAATCCAAAGTCCTTTGAAAAATAAGCTGCTTAGCAGTCCTGCAAAAACTCTGCCAGGAGCCCATGGCAGCCCCCAGAAGTTAATGGATGGCTTTCTACAACATGAAGGAATGGCTTCGGAGAGACCCCTGGTAACTGGAATAAAATAAAGACTGTTACTAAATTTTAATGTACTTGACACTGTCTGAATATATAGCATTTTCATTCACTTTCTCAACAGGAAGAAGTCTCAGCTTCCAACCCTTGTGCACAGGATCTATCTAGCTTGCAGCCTGGCCAGAGCAGCCGTTTTAGACCAGTAGCACCCAACCTAGCTGGAGCTGTGGAATTCAGTGATGTGAAGACCTTGCTCAAAGAATGGATCACTACTATCTCAGGTTTGTGTGGTAGTTCAGTGATTCAAGCACATGAACCAAGCACAACAGATAAGATTCAGCCCATTTCTTTAACACTATTTTCTCACCAGCTATCTTTAAGCTCTAAGATGGGCTCTGACAGCTGTCAGGGGGATAACTAACTGCAGATTTCTGACTTTCTCCAGAAATCACTGGGGTCCTCACTTGAGGTTTTCCTCCTTCCTAGATCCAATGGAAGAAGACATTCTGCAAGTTGTGAAATACTGCACTGACCTTATAGAGGAAAAAGATTTGGAAAAATTGGATCTTGTTATAAAATACATGAAAAGGTAATTTATTAAATATTTTTACTGAAAGAGAAAAAAAGCATGTCCCAACAGTCAATTGAGTGGAGGGCCTAAGTTTCTTAAGGTTCTGGTCTTAAATACCATATAACGTTGACAGGGTAGTAAGAAATAACCACTCCCATGGTTATGTCCAGTACACAAGTGAACATGAAATGCTGCTGAGTGCCCTACATAGGCCTATTTTTTTTTTTAATCCAAAACAAGGTTTATTATCTTAAGACTTGGTTTTACTGTGTGGGCTAAACTCAATGGCTGAGATTATAGGAGTGAGACACTGTGTCCAGTTCAAAACTTAAACAAGAATGAAGCTAGGTCTGAAGAACAACCGTGTGTGTTGGAGCTCTCTTCAATGGTGCCTCTTCCTTGCCTTCAGGTTGATGCAGCAGTCGGTGGAGTCCGTATGGAACATGGCGTTTGACTTTATTCTTGACAATGTTCAGGTGGTTTTACAGCAGACTTATGGAAGCACACTGAAAGTTACCTGACTGTCCGGAGAGCCTGGTGCTCTCTGCTAGCTGTGCCAGCAGTGCTTGTGAGGTATTTGCAAAGTGCATGATAGTGATGCTCTGAGTTTTCATAATTCTACATTTCTTTTTAAGCAAGTGTTTTGTACATTTCTTTTCAAAAAAGTGCCAAATTTGTCAGTATTGCATGTAAATAATTGTGTTCATTCTTTTACTTGTAGCATAGATTCTATTTACAAAACGTTTGTTTATAAAGTTTTATGGATTTTTACAGTGAAGTGTTTACAGTTGTTTAATAAAGAACTGTATGTATATTTTGTACAGGTTCTTTTTTCCTTGTGAATCCTTAAAAAAAACTCAGCTATAGGAAGAACTAGCAACAGTTTATTCTACTTAAAGCCTGCTACAGACTATGTGCAAAAGCTGTGAAATTGCTCAATAGTGCAGGGCCAGCATTTCACTAGTTTTGTGAACAAGGAAAACTAATAAAATCCTGGCCTAGGGTTTATTACCTAAGTTCGGGATGGTGTTGTGAAAATTGAACAGCTAAACTAAGTTTTTCAAGCATATATCATATATAATATCTCTTCTCTAGTGTACACTGTGTCTTAACACTTTATATTCATTTATAGTGGATACTGTGAGTACTCTGAACATCAAGTTTTCCTACAGTAGGTTTCTTCAAAGGATGTTGGTAGATCCTCAGGGATAACTACACGGTGTAGTCAAGAGGTGTGTGAATAAATCACTGAGGTCTAGTCATGCAGAAGCAGTGACCTCTGATAATTACTGCCCCCCCCTTTTTGAACAGAAAACCATGGAATGTATGAAAAATGTCCCTCCTATGTGTTAGCAGGTGCTGAGGGTGAGCTACATTCCTGGCTAGCATGGAGGCCTTGCTGTGCCTCCTCTTTATTGGCAGTTTGTTACAATGAGCTCTTGTGACTAGTACAAGCAGTAATTGCAGCCAGCTATCCTTTTACACCATGGTTGCACACAAAGCAGAAGGAAATTAGCAGAGTCCCTAAATCTTCTAGTTAGAAAAGTCCCTAAGGGCAGGTGGCAGAAGAATGCTAGGGGTGGGAGAAGGGGAACTATGGAAGAATACCCATAAACTTACATCAAAAAAGTCCCAAGAATCACAAAATCTGTAGAAGCTTGGTTAATCAAATACTGCAGGACTGATTTAATCAGTATAAAATTGAAAGATTTAGATTTGTAATAAAAATCCAAATTTGAGGAAGGGCAAACTTTAAAACAGCAGCCAAGTCTTAAAGGAAGGGTGGGTGAGTGCAGGGACGCTGGACTGTGGGGCGGGGAACTGACCACTGTCAAACCAGTGTAAGTTGCTTGGTTTCTCATGGAAAACATTTTATACACCTAAGTCCATCAGCGTCCAAATGTCTGTTCCGTTGGTAATATCACAACATAATATTACATTTACTCCAAATTCTGTCCCATGTGGGAAAATTAGATGATTTCAAATACTTTCTTCAGCTCCACAATAAGCTGCCAGTCACTCTTCTGCATTTCGTCTCTGAACCAGTCTTTGAGTGCATCGATGGACTGCCGGCTGATCTGCAATAGCCAAGGCACAAACAGAGTGAGCCAAAGATACACAGTGTCAATGAATGTCCCAAATGTCACTTAAGAGAAAGGTAGTGCTTTACAGCCTTTGTAAGGAGAACCCCACATCTGTGAGCTTTGACTCTGGAGTCCCTGGGATTGTCAGAGGCACTGCTGCTCTCTATCAGAAGTGCCACCCAAAGCCGTACTTCAGTTCTCTGAGCTACTGCAATAGGCAATTGGATGGATAAAGGGAACTAGACTAGACTTAAGATTTCTGAAATTTTCAGTCTGAAAATATGGTACTTTGACTAATAAAATACTTACCTTGCTGACAAGAATGTCCGTAGCCTCAAAATGTCTCCCAAACATTTTGGGAGATTCCCCAGGGATAGGTTCTATTTTGACACAGACCTCTTGTCCTTTTTTTGCAACATCCACCTGCTTGTGGTTTATTTCAATGCTTGTTACTATCCCAATGTCAACAAACTATAAGAGAAAGATCATTGTCAGACTCGTGTTTTCTATAGGCCTACCATGACAGCTGAACTTAGACTGCAACCCTGCAGTGTCCACAGTAGAATTTCTCCACACCACCCCATCTACCCAACACCTCTGAGACAGCAGCCAAAAACAATTCTCTGAAGACTGGTACACCTGTTGACCCAGTGTCATTTTATGGTTCTCCTGTAGACTCTCAGGTTGGAATAGGACATACATAACATGCAGCTAGTCACAGATAAGCCAGGAAGATGGGGACAGGAGGCATCTGATTTAAGTGCCGCCAGAAAATACTAATTGGAAGTTCTTCGTGCCATGTCTTAATAGTAGGTAGCACATGACCAGTAGCCATTGGCTCTGTGAAAACTAAGGAGTAGAAGGAGAACACAAGTTTGTTGCCATTTCCAAAGTAAATCCAAAGGGGTCAGTGTCACTGAGAATGTTTTGGTGACCTGCATAGTGTTGGAGCCCTCTTGAAGGTTCCCTTTCACTAAGTCTGTCTGTAGAGGAGAAAACAGACAAATCCAAATGAATAACGTCCCTAACACATTTGAGTTGGACTCTTCACTTCTCCCCTGAGATTACAACATAAATCTGCCCAGGAATGAATAAGCAAACACATGAGTGAGGACTGCAGACAGACATTACTGAAGTGATACCACCTAGAGGAAGACACAGCATCTACAGTTAAGTTGATATTGGCCTGGAACTTACATTTTTGCTTGGAACGCACATAGGTGTTCCTTGTTTCACTTGACCAGCCTCCACAGTGACCCCTATTACTATTGGATCTCGAGAATTGAAAATGTACTGAGGGAGGATTTTCATCTTGCAGGGAAATACTGCTATGTGCCTGAAAGTAAAAAGAAAGCAAAAAAACAAAACCTCAAGCTCACAAACTTGATGAACAGAAAGCAAATTTAGATGGGTGGCAAGTTTGTTGGATGAATGCCACAAAGCTCTAACCCAGTTCAAAGCTATGTCAGGGAACACTGTTATGCTCAAACTAAACGACGATGCCTTGCCCCCAAAGGTAACATATTTTGCTAACCATGTCCTAGAGTTTAGAACATGGGTAGAACTTGCTGACATCTAGTCATCCATCTCTATAGATTCCTCTTCTTCATACGCCTAGTGTTTTCCAAAAAAGCTACCACAAGTTCCTGTCCTTGTCATTCACATGCTGGAAGCACAGCTCAAGACAGCTAATCCCCAATGTAATCATGCCATGACTTGGCAGGGATGGGCAGAGGGAATAAACCCATAAAAGCTCAAGCTTTCCTGCAGCTTAGGATGTTACTCCTGTACTTCTCCAACTTTATTATAAAATTGCCACGTTCTCTGAAGTATACTTTGCCAGTGTGGCTTGGTTGCCATAAGTGCTGTACTGTGTATGCACACCACACACTGACTGTTGAGTCTGCTTCAAACTATTATTCCCAGTAACAGGCCCAAAGGAGATGGCTTTCCTAATCACAGCCCATCTGCTTTACTCGCACTTACTGGTGCCTCTCTCAAGAGGAGACCTGGAAGGCCCGGGAAAAGGAAGCGACACAGCCACCTTGTAAGATCTACAGAATCCTCTGGCATGTTTGCTACTTTACACAAAGGTGACCTAAACCCGACAAATTGAAAATTCGAAACTAAAAGGCTCCAGAGAGGACCTGGCATCTCTCTCCCACCACCCTCCTCTTATTACACGAATACACATACATAAACACACAGGAATGTTTGTTCCAGACAACAGCTACTGGGTCATAAACAAACCACTTCAGAACACAGCAACTGGGAGTTATATACTTTTGTTGTCTGCATTCTTATCAAAACAAATAAAAACACTAACTTACTTAAATTCTTCTTGTTTTTGTTTCTTGTAGTCTTGTCTGTATTTTGTAAAGGCATCAAATAAATGATAAATAATTTCTGCACTAAAGATTCTAACTCCCAAACTATCAGCCATCTCTTGTGCATCCCGCTCGATTCTTACATCAAAGGCCAAAATTACTGCATACCTGAAATGGGAATATCAAAGATCACTTAATGTGAAGTAGTGAGTCACACTGAACACCCTGAAAACAATTACAAGCAAAGAGTACTTACTGGGGATCGTGTTCCAACATCACTGAAGCCTTCATAACGTCCTTTTTATGGACTGGGCCAATGTTTATTCCTGCATACTGTAAAAGAGTTTCCAGGTTTACCCGCATGCACAGCCCATCATGACCACCATATACTTAGAAAGCTGGGCAGCTACTTACGGGCACCTCTGATGTTTTCAGAAATTCAAGAAGAGCTTCCAAAGAGCCCAGTGTAGACGCCTGGACATAAACTCCTTTTTCTTCTAATTTGATAGCATTTAGTGTCTGCTTTAACTCATGGATCAATTCATCCTTGAAAAGAAATCAAATGTGACAAAGTACACCTTTATCTTTACCCTAATAACTTTCACCATGCATGAAAGCATGCAATTAGGGCATGGCCTACCCTATCCTAACCCACTTCATCTCTCTGCCTTAAGTGAGGAGAAAATATGCTAAATTTCTGCAACACTCAGTAAAAAGAGCAGATGACTGGGAAGAATGTCATCCTTCGTGAGGACCAAACAGATGTGTGGCAGCTCCAAGCCTCAAATGTGAAATTACCTAACTCATCACCTCACAGAAGACAAATCCACTCCACACTCAGGCCTGACCTGTTCTACCTTAGGGCTGAGGTAGTATATTCTCATGACCTGATTCTGCCTAAATACTGAAGGTGGCTTACAGATCTGTATGCTTGGCAGCAAGCAACCGTTTTATTTTCTCTTTAGCAAGCAAATAAGCTATGGGTAAAGCCTGCTTTTCATTGGATATGGGCCAACTGATCGTCCCATCAGAAAACATGCTTTTTTGGTACCAAACTGAGATCTGAAATAAAAACAGTGGCATACCACTAGCACATAGAAGGTTAAAGCAAGAAAATCCAAGTTTAAGACCAGCGTGGATAACACTACAAGTCTAAGGCTAGGCTGAGTTGCACAAGAAGACTTAAAATGCAAAATTGAAACATACCAAAAAAAAGTATATGCCTGTGTGTGGGTGCTTGCTATGCAAGCTGCCAAGGGTTGGAAGCAACCTACAGTCCTGTCCAGCAGTGACATCTATGAACCGCAATGACCAGCATAAGATGTCCCTAAAGTTTATGGTAGTGACATCCATATTGTAGTGGTAAACAAAGCTGTCTAGGTAGACTTAAGGCCCACTCAACAGTAGGGA